CTTATGCTACGATCAGATGTTTATTCCAGACACAACTGAGAATACCACAGCTGTCACAAACCGACATTATTCCATGGGGACAAACAACATATGTGAAGGGGATTAGATGCAGAACTACAAAAAGCAAGCCACTTGAGCCTTCTATGAACTAAATTTCTATTATAGAAAGCAAGCAGCCTTCGGTTCCTAAAGACACATAGGGAATTGGTAGAACTCCAACTCTTGGCACTTAGATTAATGTTACTTTGTGCATCACTGGATACAAGCAAAGGAAAAACTGGGAGTTGGCTACAGGAAAGGAATTCTTACCCCTTGATTTGTCAAGATGAACTGCATGCTTCCTACAGCATGCAGAGCTCTCTTCTCAGTTTTTCTCTGTGCAAATTAATTTGGGGAAAAATTGGCTCCAGGCAAAAAAGTCTGTCCCCGGTGATCCTTTCATGTGCTATTAACTAATCTGATTTCTAAACATTCCTAAAATGTAATTGTGTGTGTCTCTTTACACAGCAGAATAGCTATTTAAATTATCTGCAGTTGGAATGGTAGTCCGAAAAAGATAAATATTACCTATAGCCACTGGCAGTCAGGGGACTGTGGAGCTGCACAGTACATTTGCAACATGAGATGCAAGCCAAACTGAGTTAAATCCATGGAAGAGGAGAGGAAACTAAAGCAGACTCCTGTCTTTAAAGAAGCTAATCTAGAAATTTAACATTGCATTTGCACTCAACAAAGCATCAGTGAGATAAACAGCATCCTTTCTCAAGTCAAGCAGGACAGGCAAATCTGCAAGATTTAAATGAAAAAAAAAAGGTCTTATGGAATGTTTCATTTTTGACATAATGTAAGAGAGATTAAATAAAACTTGGTAGTAAAGAGATATTCTGCTTTGCTGCAGAATCATAATCTGTGTAGAAAATCCTAGGGTATAAAGCACATTACATATAGCTTAATTGGAAAGGTATAGTATATATGACAAAAGAATTGAAGGAAGCATTCATACCCTGCAAGTACCCTGCAAGTCTGTTATCAATATTTAATATCCATATGTAAAGCTTCTAGGTTTAGGGACAAAAAGGGGTACTAAAATTGGAGATTCACAGAGCAGAATCCTTTCTTTGATTGCATGCTCTCACATTCCCAGATTATCTTCTTGGTTGTTCTTCCTTTCATTGGCTTCAAAATGGTACAATTTCAAGTTAGTCCACATGCAGTATGAAATAAATAATGGCTCAGAAACAAAGGAATAGAGGAAAGAACACAACAGCCATATGCCATGCAGCAGAGGCAAGTTACACCTAGTAGCTAAAGCATACCTCCTACTTGTAGCTTTTCTGGTCATGAGTTGGTAAATGGTTATGGCTGAGTTAATTAAACATTAACTCTGAGTCTGGCTGAGATGATGTCATGTTGTTTTCTAGCAACGAGCATAAATAATTTAGAAGAGTGGGAGATCAGTACCTAAGCTTTGTATATTAGAGCTTTGTACGTTTGGAATCAGCCACACAACTACACAACATTTTTAAAAAGCAGCTGTAGAAAGTACATTTAAAAGATTCGATTTATTTTCTGTTAGATGGATATGCACAGTAATTTCCGACAGGCCTGGGCCAGACTGGGAAAGAAATCCAAGGCATAGGTCATGCAGATGAATGGTGAAACTATGTAGGTAGTAGCAGCAGATTTAATTTCAGTGTTTTCCATTAAGATCATTCTAGACCAGTGATGTCAAACTCAAGGCCCGTGAGCCTGGATGCTTAAATCTGGCCCACAGGGCCGGGCTGGAACTATCAAAGGACTGGCCCGCGGTGCCTCTACCAGCCAAAATAGGCTGCAGGGGGAGCGTGAGGCCCTGCCGTGGCCCATTTGCAGCCTCCCCGGCTTCCAGTAGCACTTTGCCAGCCAAAAATGGGCCTCACGGGGCCTCTGCATCTTGGCCAGCTGGAGACCGGGGAGGCCAAAATTGGGCTGAGCGGGGGCTGAGTTGGGCCTCCGCGTGCCTCATTTTGGCCAGCAAAGTGCTGCAGGAGGCTGTTCAGGCAAAAAGTGGGCGACACGGGACCCTCATAGGGCCTCCGTACACCCCATTTTGGCCAGCAGGGTGCTGCAGGAGGCATCCATCTCATCACCCCCCCGGCCCACGGAGAACTACAATGCTGATCCAGCTCTCAAAGAAATCCAGTTTCTAGAACATCCCTGTTCTAGACTATAAAGCAAGCCAAGTGAATCCTAGATCTCTGGATCTCCCTAGAGAGATAGGAGTATCCTTTGTCTCATTGGGAAGATGGGAAGACGTTCAGGTTGAACTAATTTGCTAATTGTATCCTTTTCTGGAATGTGTGGCCTGGCAGTATTTATCCATGCCTTCTTCACATCACAGATTGACTACTCCAGTTTATTTTTTTTGTAGCCCTGCCTTTGAAGACTACGTTTAAAGATTATCTGAAAGAAGCAGTACCGAATCCAGCCTGTTTACTAGTGGGGAAGTGTCATATAACATTGTTATTGTAAGCTCCAAAGTACAATTGCAAAATGTTGCTTTTAGCCTAATAAAGTCCTTTCTATCTTAGAGCCTAGGTATTCATAAGGTTACCTGCTTCATTTTTTTTTAATTTTTATTTTTAATTTGATTTATATGCCGCCCTTCTCCGGAGACTCAGCGGCTTACAGTGCGTTAAGCATGAAGAACCAACCCACCCAGAAAATTTGCTCCTGCTAGGAGATCAAAGGAGAATTTAGACCAATTAATTGATTGATTGATTGATTGTACTTTATCTCTTCTCTGCCTTGCTTTTGGAGTTCAGCTGGCTTTCCTTCCTCTTTATAGTTTTAAAGGGTATCCAAGACAGAGATCTTCCATGCGGCATTATTTATTAATTAATTACATTATCCAATTTCTGTCCTGCTGCAATCTGTTTCACAGATTCCAACCCCTTCAAATTTATGATTATTCTAGTCTGTAGATTGCATGACTCATCATGTTTCTTTAGGAAATTTTGAAAGCACATTGCTATATTTTTTAATTTTTTTATTAATTATTAAAACTATATGCCACCTATCTCACTGTATTATCGTTAGCAGACATTCTTGAAAATAAACATTTGTTTAAAAAAATAGTGTAATTAAAAAAAATGAATTTACAAGTTTCCTTCTGGACCATCTGTGGGGGTTGAGGGTGGAAGGCAATTCCTCAATGCTCAATTCTAGGCTGTGTGGATGGGAAGGGAGAGATTATGCTCAGGGCTGCACACTTGTGGGTTGCTTCAGAATTTGACTCTTTCCCCCTTCTGTTTAACATCTAGATCAGGGGTGTCAAATTCACGACAACACATTGTCATGTGACATATCGCAACTTTCCCCCCCCCCCCCCAGAGCTAAACCGAATGTGGGCATCTGACTCACGGACTGCGAGTTTGACACCCCTGATCTAGATGACACTTAGTGGAGTCATTCATCAGTTCATGGTTTAGTACCATCAGCATGCTGATAATACCCAGATTAATATCTTTGCAAGGGAACCTGTTGAGCTACTGACCCAGTGTTTGGAGGTCAAGGAACAGACTTCACCCTGAATGGCTGTTGCCACTGTAGTCCTGAGCTCCCCAAGGTCAGAAACATCTCATCATTGGTCTTGAACAGAGTTGTGCTTCTCCCATTTGAGAAGAGCAGATACAGGTAGTCCTCAACTTATGACCACAATTACACCCAAAATTTGTTGCTATTTTTTAAGTGAGTTTTTCTCCATTTTACGATCTTTCTTGCCACAGTTATTAAGTGAATCATTGCAATTGTTATCACGGTTAAGTGCATCTAACTTTCCCATTGACTTTGCTTGCCAGAAGGTCTCAAGAGGGGATCACATGACCCTGGGACACTGTGACCATCATAAATGAGTCAGTTGCCAAGCATCTGAATTTTGATCATGTGATCATGGATCTGTAACGGTTGTTTGAAACATAGTCATAAATCACTTTTTTCAGTGATGTTGTAACTTTGAATGGTCACTAAATGAATTGTTGTAAGTCAAGGACTACCTGTAGTAGCTGTTGCCAGGAGGGCCTTTACACCGGTATGCCATATATGCCAGTTTGGTCCCAGGCCTGGAGTTAATTTGATGGACCAGAGGGTTGTAGTCCTTTTTAATGTTTTTAATCTGGGGTGTCTTTAAAGTTTTTATATTTTTAAACTGCCCAGAGTCCAATAGAGTGGATGGTTATATTAAATGTAACAGGACTTAACATGTCTTGGCCTATATGTACAGATATTCCTTGCTGAATGACCAGGGGTGTTATTTGAAGTTACAACAGCCATGATGGAACGGGTGTTTTATGGCCTGTAAAACCACCTCTTCTTCTTCTTGTGCCATCGGACGTTGGTGATCATGTTGGCAATCCTATTTTTGTCAACAGTCGTATGAAAAAATGCTGCTGAGTTTTGTCCAAACCAGTCCCTTAAGTTTTGAAGCCATGATGTTCTTCTTCTGCCTGGACCTCGTTTGCCAAAAGAACCTGTGGCCGTCATAAATGGTTGCACTGCCTCCTGCCGTTATGTGACTGCATGTCAGGCAGGTCAGCTTTACCGCCAATTGTGACATTCTGCCGTCATGTAACCAGAATGTGTTTTGCTTATTTCTGGCATTTTTTGGGAGGTTTCATTTAAATTAACGCTTAACTACCATGGCGTTCACTTAATGGCCCCAGCATTTGCTTAAAAACTGCCACAAAAAAGACTGGAAATTTATTTTCATTCACATGGCCGCAATTATGACCAGAATTCCAGACTCTATTATGGTCATTAGTTGAGGACTACCTGTAAATCTCCTTGGACAAGGAAGATGCTTGAAATCAAGAAAGAATCAAATCTAAGGCTGCAACGCTGCGCTTCTAGACTGCGGTAACCTGCAATGTCTTAAAAGCAATGCAATATTACACCATTTCTATGGGAAAGGTAATTTTTCCCCACAGGAAAGAGAGCACATAAACTAAAGACCGCCAGTTGAATACATAAGAATAATCTTTAAAATTTATTTGACTAATTGTGTTACATTCAGTATCTGATGTGTTTCTTCTGGACAAGGAGTTGGCATAAATACAAACAAGCCTTTGTGCCTTCTCTAAACAAGAGATAAAATACTAGAGACAGAGGAGCACAGCTTCACATCTTTGTATTTACAGTCTACCTTTACAATTTAGTGCTAGGATTATTTACAGAAAATACAGTAAGAACAAAAAAAAATCATGTCTTGGCAACATATAGAACTTTATACATAATTGTACATGATTTTAAGCATATGGTATCTAGGCCATCTCTTTCAAAGCACTCGTCAAAGATACCCTCTTATGATTGTGAACTCACAGTTATTTTTGTTCCCTGTTCATCTTAAATTGTAGTCCTATAATCCTCCTGTGCCAAATATTCAGCTGCATGACAATTGCATGCTTCCTGACTGGGAAGCCACTTCACATATGGGACAGTCCAATTCTCAAGACATTCCTATTTCTTCACGACCCATGGAAGCAAATAAGGTTCTGAGGATTGGAAACAAGCGTTGTTTCCTACAGCTGTGTCCCAACTGCTCTGCATATAGATTAGCTACTTACTTCAAACATGATTCCCTTCCTTTCCCTCCTCGTAGTATATATACGCATGCTGTACATTAATAAATGCTTGAAAATCTGCTGAAGAAAAAGGGCTTTGTATTTCTTAAGTGAAAACTTTTTTTGTTGAAGGTACTAAAACAGACACCTTTTATATGGAAGTGCTGTGAAGGTTGCATTTTTTTCTTGCTCCGTTTATACCAATAATAATGTATTGAAAGGATGGTAAGCATGAGCTCTTACGACGGAAATAGACAGGATAGATATGTGTAGCCCTAATATTGTATCTCATAAAGAGACTGGAATGAAAGAATACAAAATGAAATGATAATAGGAAACAAGCAGCGTTAATGGTAGGAAAAGCCATCTGCTTTATAAACTTACATTCTTTTTAATTACCTTGTGTAATCATATTCAAAATACAATTTGGAAATGCAATGGCCAACCCTAAATTTATTTATATTAGACAACTTTCTTCAAATTAGTGCCCTCCAGAAGTATTGGATTCCCAGAATGGGATGTCCAGCAACATCTGGAAGTACCTTCTATTGGCTTGAGGAAGGTTAACGTAGCATGTCTGAAGTCTCAGTTGATCCCAAAATTAAATTTTCAAATGCAACTATTATGGAGAGGTCTAGACAAAACATTTTATTGCAATCAATCAACAGTTCTGCACAGAAAATAGAAAGTTACCAGTGCATTTGGAAGCCTTCTCAACTATACATGGAAAACAGACAACCAGCATCTGTACAAGAGGACCACATCATATGCATTATCTGGGAGAATGCAGTGAAAGTAAGCCCTTATACATTTCTTTTAAACACTCAGTGCTGTTTGATGAGATTTCTGTTGCATATGCTGCCTTATTACATTTATCAACAGTATCATATATAGGCCTCAACACCAAGACCTTTTGTTTAATGATAAAACAGATTTAAATAGGAGGATTTACACATGTAGATTCAGGGCAGTTTGCCTACTTTTTCTGAAATCTAAATGAAAACAAATAATAAAATAAAATCAAGCCAGGGGATAAACTCAGACATACAGAAGAACTTTGGGGGGGGGGGAAGGAAACCCCTTATATAAGCAAAATGTTTCTTGTGGTTTCATAGAAGAGTCGAACAAACTAACATTTATTTTACTGAGCTATAGATCTTTACATTTGAATGGAAAGTTTAAGGCAACTTATTTTAAATCTCACCCTGTTTTTAATTAGTTTAAAAGTCATTTTAAATTGTTTTTCTTTCACCTGTTTAAGTCAAGATGATTTGACAGGTCATTAGTAATATTAACTAATGGGTTTGTCCAGAATACATATATGATTCAAACAATTCTAGCTACGTCAGCAATTGATGTGTGTATGCAGACACTCAATTGTTCAACGCTTGTTATAGTTTTTGTGGTAGTCATGCATTGTTCATGCCATTTAATCTAGGAACTAAATGTGACTGGTCAATTTATAGAGCTAAACAGTATCTAAGCAAGTCTACAATTAAGTTTAGTGCTCATGCACTGGATTAATATTGGCAAGTCTTCAGTATCAAATATACTATATAAAAGCCTATATATTTCAGGATCCTCACTAGCCTTGCTATTTCCAGTCTTGCCTTAGAACCATTTGCAATTGATTATATTGTTTGTCCTTATTTTCCAATAGGTCCTCTTGAACCTAACAAAATAACAATAATCACCCTGCTAATTCAATGCAGCCATTTTGTCCATTACTCAATCTTGTCTAAAAACTATTATTTAGGGTTACTTTTCTCGTCAAAAATGCCACAATTTGTTACATTACAGAACAAATTATCCCTCTTAAAAGAATATTGGGAAGTGAATATTCCCAATATTGGGAATATTGGGAAGTTACCAATAGTGTGTAGTACCAATTGCAAAGTAGATATTACACACACAAATAGACAGTCAACATAGCTAGAAACTTTTTCAACTTCTCTTTTTGCAAATTGGTCCACACTTGAATGCTGTTCCGTCTTTGGCTTAACTTTACTATAAAGAAAATAAAAGAGGAAATAAAATACTCACTACTATTTTTGTCCCAAAATGCTTTTCCTTGGAAATTTAGCAGTTCAAAAAATAACTTTTGCAATCACACTGGATGAGTACAGCTTTGCTGCATCCCTCTCCAGAAAGTATCTCTTTACATATCAATATTTAGAATGATATGGATCTAAAAAGGAACCTTCATATGCAATTCCTTTACATATGTTTCCTTTTAAGTCTATGCCATGCACCCTGGTAAAATTGGATATAAAAAAAGGAAAGGCACAACTTATGAAGTGCTTTGCAAAGTTTTAGCTGTTGCCAGCAAGAGTAAGAGAATTAATATTCATATTTTATGATACTTACTTTGCTATAGGAAATGAATTTACCATAATAATTAATTTTAGAATGGAAACGGCTTAATAATATAACACATAAAGATTCACTTGCTAGAGGTGATTACTGGCCATTTGTTCATCAAAGTAAGTCAGCAGAAGATTATCATGTTTAAAATCAAAATATTGCATGAGCTCCACATTAAGTTTCCAAGGCATATTACAATTCCTTATTTAGATTTATTCTCTAAATCAGGTTTGTTCAATAACAGAGAAACAATTATTAGACTATTAATCACCTTGATATATAAGTGACCAGTCCTAAATATTCTGGGATTATTATGAAGTTAAGACAGTGACTTTGTGGCAAAGTGTTTAATTTTCAACTTTCTGGTTCTAAATAATTAACTAAAAATATTCTGATTTATACTCTTATTATGATGATTGGAAAAAAAAGAAACAAAACAAAAAGATCAAAGCACCAAATTATGTTGGAAAATCAGGAAGTGAATTCTTGCTGGCCTAAATATCTCCTGATACATTTATTAAGAGCTACATTCCATTGAACCAATAGGAATTATTTTTAAATCCAGGTTCATAGAATCTTTTTGATTGCTTACCCATGCTCTCAAAAAGATTTGTCCCTGAAGTATTCTGGATACTCTCTGGGAAAAAATATTTCTATTTACAACACGTGTAGGTTAATTTTTAGATATGTCAACAAAAGTTATCTAAAAGCATTTCTATCCTGCCCTATGTCTACGCCACTCATTTATCATCTTCAGAACTATGCAAAGATTTTCCAAGGCTTATAGACATTACTAGAACTTCATTCTGTCATCCACCAAAAGTTGTAGGTCCTGTTAACATCTAGTAGTAGAGAATACAGCAGTCAATGCAAATGAAGGAAGATAATCTTTCAACCATCATGCGACATGTATTCTGTACAAAAATAGGTGTTATAATGTTATTAGGCCAGGGGTGGGGAGTACGCTGGCAAGAATGCTCAGTGTCTGGCAGAACCATCTCTTCTAATGTCAAATTCTAGATGCTATCCTTGCCACAAGGGCCAAAAAATAAGTTTTGTAAGAGTTGTAACTCTTCTGAAACATACAGATAGTCCAATTATTTCAACAATTTTATGACTTCATATTAAATGTGTTTTTTATTTTTCTTGTCATTAGATAGGAAATGCCTACCAAGTCCTGCATTCAATTGAAATGAGTGAAAGCGTAATTGTGAAATCTTTAATTTAGGTTTCAAGTACTAGTTTTTATGTGTGAGTGTATGTATGTTTATACATATAACATACATCCAACTGAGCCAAATTCCATAACAAAGGTTTTGCTTGTGTCTCAAACATTGTAATGTCACCAATACATACACCAAAGCATATATTCCAAAACTAACCACTGAGCAAAATGTGCCACTTGTACTCTAAAGATTATTTTTGCTTCTCCCTTCTCTTAAGCCAAAGGTTCAAGGGTTTATTTTTTTTTTCCCCTGGACAGACCAGCAGAAGACATAGACAATAACAATTTACAAAGATAAAACATTTAACAACCAGTCCATGGCTTTGAAAGTAGAGGACAAGACCCAAATATAATTTTCTGGTTAGAAGTAAAATGAAATCATATATCTGACTTGCTCGTAAAAGGAAAAGCAAACTGAGCAGACAAATGCACAAATAGTTTATCTAAAATAATTTGCCCTTGAATCTAATCTGCTAGAGAAACCAATATGAAACCATGTGTTAACTCTATACTCAGAATCTGGCTTTTTTTTTTTGCGCAAACATGGGAAATCATGAGAAGTGTAGTTAACCTTCTGTTTGCTATACATCCGATATATTGTCTATTAATAAATAATACTTCATTATCAAAGCTTCTCCCTCTGTAGCATTGGAGGTGTGGCGATGTGCTCAGAAGGACTGCAGAACTGGAGCCAAAAGCAAGTCCTCTTTATTTTCTTGCAGTAGAAGCAGAAGTCATGCTGAGAATGTGGTTTGTTTACACAAGAGGTCCATGAATGGGAAGATTTTATTTCATTGTTGCAGATACCAAGCTGCAATTTAATTGTTCAAAAAGGGTCCTGGGTTTAAGGATTACAGTTTTTCAGTCCAACCTCTTGAAAAAGAGAGGTATAAAACTCTGGTTCCAGCTGTTTGTTCCTGTATTTATTGACAATATCAGCTATTTTCTGTTTTCGTCGGACATGAGGGGGATTGTATGAGTCACTTTCCAATCTTTTTCTTCGACAAATATTTATTACTGTCTGTCTCACTAAGAACCCTTAAATAAAAAAGGGAATAAAGTTAATACAGTTTATTTCACTCAGGAATTTTCTCATTTTTATTCTAACAATTTGAATGTATAGCCAAAACATCAACAATAAATAATATTGATAGACACCATTTTGTTTGCTAAATACAATGATATGTGCAGGAGAGTTGAGATGCAGTATATAACTGTTTCTTCCTATTACAGAATTAGCAATTTCAATGTCTAATTACTTCATTCTCAAGATAGACTTAGGAAAGTTTAAAGGGGCTGAAAATAAGGGACCTGTCACCCTTTTAATATTGTTGACTGTCATCATCCAGCAATCATAGCTAGCATGACAAGAAGTAAAATCCAACTCTGGATTCTGTTTCCATACCAGCCAATTCTGCCATAGTAGGTTGTGTTATTATGATTTAATATTTATTTAATGAGCCCATATATTGATGGGATTATGCTCCCATACTTGGCTGATTTTTTTTAAGATTAGGAATCTCCAATACTGCAAAACCTAAGAAATAATGGGGATTAGGAGGACCAGGATGGGAAGGATGAAGGATCTGAATCCTCACTGCTCCCGATTCTGCTTATATTTATATTGCCTTGCACGTCTGACTTGAGGTTGTACTCTGGACTGACAGAAAGTTGATTTTATTGGAATATTCTTAGAAGAATCTCACCACTTTTTCTCACTTTTTAGGAATGTTATTAATATATATATCTGTAAGCAATAGATCTGAAAAGTATTAGTATAAGTTCAACTTGCCTTTTATCACTTTTTTCCACATCCCCTTGGTATGTATTTCCCTAACACTGGGAGATTCAATGGGGTTATGAAAGCATACCACCAATATACAAGCAATCCCCAATAAACAATGAAAACCTGGCTTCATGCCTGGAATATTCCCTGAAAGAGGCTTGAGCACAAGGAGAAGGAAGAATTAATGGATCTATTTTTTTCTAATTGGAAGTAGCCTAGTGCTAATGTAACAGAACTCTTTAGTAATAATACACTGCATTCAAAGCTAGTATAATAACCAAATATTAATAGAAGACGTACCTAGAGCTCTTCTGCTAACTATCATGCCATCCACTAGAGGGATAACCATGTTGAATTTTCCAGTAGCTCCTTGTACTTTTACCCTGAATAATCCAGTGTTGAGGGGATGGATGAAAATCACTGGCACTTCTTTTTCAGGAGTAGCAGACCTTAAAAATCACATAAATAGTTAAAACCAATGAACATTTAAATGTCTAAACAAAGCAATTGTGCTTTGATGGCCAATATTGAAGGATTCAGTTTTTAAATAATAAAAAGTAAAACATTATAACAAAGATGTCAGCTATACCATGACATTTATTTCCCCAAGCTCAGCAGGAGACCATACGTAGACAATATTCTAAAATGATACCAGTTATATAGCAAATGGATTGGCTGGCTTAATACACACAAATATCAGTAGGAAAGTTGGAGTTAACAGAAGCAAGCTGCAAATCTAAGAACCAGAACCCATGTGTGGCCAAGGCACAAAAACTAAAATCATTAGGAAGAAATATTAACTGCAACAACTTTAAATGTCATTAGGGAATAGTATTTTGCCCATACCATGAAAAATATACATTTTTATATACATATATATGGAAATGAAGTAAACATACTTCCATCCATCCATATTTGACTTATGCCTGTTTATCACAATTTACTGGCTGGGACTTAGATGTGGTAATGCCTAGCTCACAGGTTGCAGATGAACAGATGCGAACTATGTCCACATAGAAACAGTGTCACTGAAAAGGTAGAGAAATTAAATCATACCTCAGCGAAGTGCTGCTATTTGTTGTAGTTTCTACTCCAGTGCTAGTCTCTGAAACCAAGTCAGAGAGAGGGAAATTCTCTGCAAGACAAGGATAATATAAGGTTAAATAACAACAATAAATACATGTTCAAATCCATAAAGTTTCAAGAGAACACAAACATAATAACTGGAAACTAAATCAAATTTGTAATTGCAAATAGTGGTAGCTAGTTAATTTCATAAAAAATAAAGAGGACTGGACCTGATGACAATTTGAATGGGAAATTAGCAGAAAACCAGGAAGGAAGGAAGGAAGGAAGGAAGGAAGGAAGGAAGGAAGGAAGGAAGGAAGGAAGGAAGGAAGGAAGGAAGGAAGGAAGGATTTGACTTTCATATTTATAATAAAACCCCAAGATTCATGTACCTATATCATCATAGCGTTCAACCCAAACCACGTACACCTTGGTTTCAGGTCCCATGGGGGGAATAGCCCGACCTTGTGGAAACTTCTTTGATTTGGAAGTTGGACTTAGCTATTGCAAGTATAAAACAAAAACAAATGTTCGCCTATTAATCAAAATTAGCAGCATGTATTCAGCTATAAGACTCTGAAGGAAATTAAGACATTTCAGCAACAAATAACTTATTATGAATCAATTTACTACCAACAAACAGCTTCTCTGTGAAACTAAGCACTTCCCAAGACTAATTAATATCATACTCAATTGGCTACAAAATATTGCACTTAAGGTATTTTCTTATGATAAATGAAGTATATTGGAAAAAGATGAGGCCTTAGTGCCATTATTATGATAAAATTGCATGGCAAAGCAAAACAGTGGAGACTCCTATTAATTCTGTGGGAGGCTGCGGAGGTTTGGATGGGGAACAACAAACTTCATTTGAACCCTGGCAAGATTGAGTGGCTTTAGTTTTGGGGCTTTCTGGTTCTAGGACGTTATTATCTTTAGGACTGAATGGGATTGCATTGTTGCAAACAGATCTTGTGCACAATTTGGGGGACTTCCTGGACTTATGACTCTTTCCTGAGGAGCAGATGACAGTAGTAATTAGGAGGGCCTTTGCATAACTTTGTATCATGTGCCAGTAGTGCCAGTTCCTGAATCAAGGGACCTTACTCACAGTCACTCATGTCCTGGGTCATCTCCCATGGACTATTGCAATGTACTCTACATAGGGCTGCCCTTGAAGAATATCCAGAAATCAGAAAATTTAGCCGGGTTCAAAATGCAGCAGCTTAGGCAGTTATGTGTGTTTCTGATAAAGCGCATGTTATACCTCTGCTGTGTGAGTTACATTAGCTATCAGTTTGTCTCTGGGTCCAATTTAAGGTGCAGGTGTTGACCATTAAAGCCCTACAGGGGATCAAGTTATTTGAGGGACATCTTTTCGTGATTTCACTGCTCACTTCACCAAGAATTCCCCAATCTTTCTGGCTTTGCAGGTCAGCGGGGGGAAGGGGACGGTTCTGCATGGGCAAGCACACACATGCACAGCTCCAGTTGCGCAAGCAATGGGCAAGCCACTTGTACAAATGGAGCATAGACATGTTCACCTGTTGCTTGTACAAGTGGGAATGCACGCACATGCTCACCCACCACTTCTGCAGCATGGTTCCGAACAACTCAAGGCCCAGTAATGGTCTGTGGGGGTGGAGACCCCTGTCTCACCAGATCCAAGAGAATGGGTGTAATATGGGTTCTATCATCTAGGGAGCTCCATTTGGCAAGCCTTAAGCAGTGAACCTTTTCTGCTATGGCACCTGATTGTGGTATCTTCTCCCCGCAGAAATAAAGTCAGTCTCATTACTCCTGAGCTTTTGAAGGTCTTTCAAGTCCTGGATATGCCAGCAAGCTTGGGTGAATTTATGAGATGGCTCTGATATTATTAACTTGGAGAGATGTTCATCTATCTATTATTTTCTTTTGTTGTTTTAATTATTTTATAGTTGTTAAGGTTCTTTTAATAATTATTATATAATAGTTTAAAGTAATGACTGTTTCATTTATTAGTGTTTTAGTGGATTGTTGTATGCCACCCAAAGACACTTCTCCAGGCTAGAAACCAGGAGATGGTCAATTCTAGTACTGCCTGAGATATAAAAACTTTGGGCCAGATGCTCTTTCTCACCCACAACATCAGACTCTGGCAACAAGCTGGTCAGTCAATTCCTAAATCAACCAACTGATCATTATTTGGTTGATATGGGGAAAAAAATGGACCCTGTACCTGTGAGAAAAAAACACTAGGAAAAAGAAATATATAAAAACTATAACTTATATTTAAAGTTCACAGAATAAACTTACCCTCTGAGAAGTACTGAGATTGTCTGTATGATTAGGAAAAAGCTCAAGTGTCAGTGCTTGCTGCTTTAGTATCCCAGGCAGGAGATCCATATTAGAATCACTTTCTTGGTCTGAGACATTGCTTTCCAATGAATCTGCTGAAACCCAAAAGAAAGAAGTTTCTTAAAACAAGAAGGCCTTTCAACTCCGAATCCATTCTGAATGCTAACAGTGCTTTTTCATTCATTTTAAGTGCAGAAAGAATCCACAATGCAATTTCGGAGCCCTACAATTTCCCTAGTCTGCAACCAATATATGATTCAGTTATAACTGTGCAAATAAAATGTGAACAGAAACTTTTAGTGATCCAGTTCAGTTTGTCTCAATTTTGACTGGAAAAAGCTTGACAGAATTTTAGGTGGAAGACTTTCCTGTAACTATCTGGAAACATTTCTGCATATATGCTAACACTATATTCTCCCTAAAAGAAATTTTGTATGCTACTGACATGTCACAGAACTTTAAAATAAAGTAGCCTAAACATTACTATTACATATTTAAGAATATATTTTTTTTGAAATATTTTTTTAATTTTTATTTAAGAATATTTTTTGAATTCCCTTAAAATACATTTAACAGTTCACACAAGAAGTGGGTACATATTAAACTCTTAAGAGATAATGACAAAAGGGTGGCAAAGGAAATGGATGCTGAACACAGGAAAATATATCAAGATGACAAAACCACTATGACTTTTTGCAGCAGGAAGGAACAAAATAAATCCTGTTCCAGTTTAAAAGTGACAACGTAAAATGGATTTATCACATATTTTTCTTATGTGTCAAGTTTTTCTGCAATGCAGGATACAGTTCTAATCAAATGCTGAAATATTTCTTAATCACTTATAGCAGGTGTCAACCTTGCGTTGTCACGGTGGCGTCGTGCAACGTATCGGGACTTTTTCCCCCTTCACTAAACCGGGAATGGACGTGGCCAGCACGTGACGCATTCAGCCCGTGGGCCGGGAGTTTGACAGCCCTGACTTACAAGATCAAAGACATATGCAGTACACTTACTTAAGGACTCCACCGGCGAAGGAACAACAAAAGCTATTTCTGTAAGAGCATCTGCGTAATATAATGCTTTTCTTTGCCCGTTAAAAATACTTGCTCCCATGTCTTCTGAACAGATTACTTCATCTGAGAAGAGGAAAAAATTAAAATCAAGTCCTATTTTGTGCTTTATTAAAACAGCAATGTCCTCTTAATATTGTGAAGATTAACTTGTTTTTTGAGTAAAAAGAATTTATATGCTGTATGTGCTGCATCGAAAGATCTATGGACTGGATGTACCTATCTCAACATAAACATGAGAAGAGCAATAGTCTTAGAACACTCCAACTGCTTAAATCCATGTGTCCATGGAGTAATTCTGAGTAATTAGCTTCCCAAATCACTGCAGAATGATTACTTTTGCCCTCCACAAATAATTTTCTGCTAAGATTATTCAATCCACGTAGACCTTGCTAAAATGGAGATGATGGGGGGAAGGGAAATTGACCTATTTCAGTATGTTACACTGTCCTGGGCCTAAGAAAACACCTCACCTTGCTCTGATCCCTCCTCATCGCAAAAGCTATTAATGGACCAGCTAGTTGAAACATGTCCTGTCCATCCAGGGTGCTTGCCCACATCAACAGACCATCCAAGAGATAGCAAGAACTCTAGAAAGTGTGGTTGAACATTTCTGGAAGACTCTACGTTCTTCAAAATCTGTGGAAGAAAAGACCATATAGCATACACACAAAAACAAAACATATAGAGGCAATTTCTTACTAACATTGTTGTGGAAATCAACACTTTCTTTTGCATTTTTAAGATATCCAGGATAACTGGCTTGAAGTATCAAACAATTTGGCTGGTACAATAAACAAATAAGACTAGCTGTACATTATAAGCGTACTTTGTATCACCCAGGGAGGTAGACTGGAATGATCTATGCCATCTATTCAAACAGAAATAATATAATTATGCCCCTGGAAGCCCCTTGATATGCCCAATTTCAGCACTGATATCAGTTAATTAAACCAAATTTTTCATATTCTGGTTTGATATGATTTCCAAAGATCCTTGAGTATGATTCTCAGGACACCAAAGGAAATATTGGCTTAATGAAACCATTGAAGATAGGGATATTATGGGTTATGCAGAGAGAGAAGGCTTATTTTGGCCTGATAAACAACAACTTGTTCAACCAGGACTGTTACTTTTGAATATTATCAATGTGTTAATTAATACAGAATTCAGCTTCCTGAAAACAGTTTTGCTTTTTAAAGGAGTTTTTCATTCCTTACAGTAGTTAATAAGTGTGAAAAGAATTCTAAAACACCATTTGCAATGTCCCACATAACCTCTTTCCCTAAATAAGTAAAATCATGGTAGGCTAAAAAAGAAAGTTTAAAAATTGCGAATGTAAATAAAATAAGAGCTATGTATAATTTTTACAGTTTACAAAATAAACTTAATCAAATTATTGTGGCATAAATTCTGAATGATTTTATTTGCACTGAATTCCAAATTATTGTTGCACCCTACGACACATTCTTGTACCATCTGGTAACAAACTACAAGGAATCAGCATATTACTTACTTCTTGGCTTGATTTTTGGCCTGCCTTCATGTAGAAAATGAAAACAGTATCAAAAGGACGACATGGCAGCAAGTCCAGGTAACCAATATCATCAAAAAACCCGGGCACAGAAGAATCAAGTGCAATCAGGTGAGGAGGTAGTCTGCTATTAACAGGTTCCTAACCAAAAAAGTAGTATAAATGTTAATACTAAATAACATCTAAAAATAGTTATAATGAAGTAGGATAAACGATTTTAGCTTGTTAATGAATAACTGCTATGTTGGTATGAAAAGAAATTCCAAAAGCCACAACTGTGTAATAACCTTATTAACTTCAACCAAAATGGCACAAAAAAGTTTACTGTTAAGTTCTCAGGAACCTTTTATTAGCAATATTTTACAAAACAAGCAGGGAATCAGGACAAAAAGTTGCACATCAAGAATAAGTAACCTACATCAATCAAGAGATTATTTGTTCCTGTTTTGGAGTTCCCAGAGACACCTACTGTAAAATTCTGCTAATCACTAATTTCAGCAATATGTTCTTTCGTAAAAATAAATCCTAAAAAAATGTTTTAATCTTCTAACAGGTTTAACACACTATTTTGTTTATCAACTCCCTCCAAAGAACAAAACATTACAGGTCTTCCCATCTGCTCATCACATTACTATCATGATCTTTCCAATTTGTAAAGTCCAACATTTTTTAATGTCTGCCTGCTCTTCATTCAAGTTGTCCTATTAAAAAAGGAGTAATAAAAATCAATTGCATTAACATAATAGGTAGTGTTATCTCCTACACAGACATATAGAGCAAAACTTTATTGTACATTATGAAGTATGGCATACTCTTCTACTCAATAGTACAGTTTTCACTGTAGGAGTCTTTACACCTACAGATTTTTTTTTTAAATAATGCACATGATCAGTTAAAGAGTTTTACTATTCTATTCCACTTTATAAAGTTCTACCTATTTTGAGCCACAAGTCATTGGAATCAATGCTACCTAATGGCTTTATTCTAATGATTGTGCTAGATAATAATCAAGTTTTCAGTCACCTTCAATGCTTCTAGAGATAGAAAGCCAAAGTGAGAAAGGAAGAGGCGGGCTGTTTGGAACTCCCGTGCAGGAGGTGGTGGTTTACAATCTGTGACTGGATCAGGGAAGTTTTTCTTCCTCCATTCTTCTTCCATTTTCTGATCTATAGATTTCTCATAAAGAACTTGCTGATCCATTCCACTTCTCAGCTTCTCATGACGTTCTTCCAGCTGAAACATATTTAGCAACTTCATCAGACATCCAAAATTGCCAAAACTAGGACCAAGATGTACTGCAGGATTTCTCATGATTCAAAGAGCAATGAAACCGGGTGCCTAAAAAAGCTGCTGCAGTTTGCTATAGCTTTCTATCTAATAAAATGCTGACTGCTGATGCTCATCAGTTGCCATGTACAAAAATTCACCTACATGCAGCTAAATAAATGCCTAAAGAAAAACAACAATTACAACCAATGTTAATAGAATCAATATCTGTCTGATTTCACATTTTCACAGGATACGGAAAGAAAAAGGAGAACAGGATATTCCATACCAATCTGGCAATAGCTTCCTGAAAAATGATGACTGACTTACTTTATATGTCCAGTAAGCAGAGAAAGTTTTAATAGATGAAGAGATGCACAAACACATTATTTTGTTCTAGAAAGACTGATGTGAATGCAGACAAGACAGTAAAAGTAATTGTGAAGAATTTAACCAGTTTTTTTGTGCAACATGAAACAAATCAGGAAACTGTAAATGTCTTACTTCCTCAGTAACTATCTCATGCAAGTCTGGAATGCTCAGGTCTGCTTTCACGAACGGAATTTTGTCCACTTCCTCAGGAAATGGCCGATGCTTCACACTGTATTTTAATCCAACATCATTTTTAGGTGCAGGACGGGGGTCTGGGACAAACAGCTGTTGAAAAGAAAACAATCAACCTAGTTTTAATATTTTGTTATTGTAAAAACACTGAAGCAGATTGAAATAAATTTGGATTTGTCTAGAATTGTCTACTACAAATATGTAGGACTGGAGAAAGTAAGATTAATCTGTATCTTTGGATACGGACATAAGTTCACATGGATGCAAACATTATTTCTAATGTTTGCATGTTTAAATTATAACAATAATTTAAACAATATTGTTTCAGCTATTATTTCTGGTACATAATTTGATTTGTGATAGTAGCTCAGGTGTAGGATGAGGGTGGAGGTTCGCTCATCACAAGCTTGGAGAATGAACCTCCAGCCTCATAATTTTGATTTATTAGAGTATGATTAGTTCAGAAAAAAAAAAAGATTACCAGAACAAATACTGAAACTTCTGGAATAATGATGAATAAGGACACCATAATTATTTTAGGATTATTAATGAATAAATTTGTGATATTTTCTTTTAAATTGAATTTTTTATATTAACTGATATATCATTAAAAAAAACAGTACTTCCAATGCATATTTATAACTACTATTAAATTAGTAAAGGACAGACCATAACAAGTACCCTATTATGAAATGTTGCAACTGTTAAATGGAAGATGTGAGCCACACAAACTGTATATATGGATGAACATGATTCATTATCTCATTTTCCAAATTAGGATGGTAATGGAAATAACCCCCAATTCAATGATCAGTTATTTTAATTTTAAAAATATAATCCTCAATGGATGTCTACAATGAATAGGAGAGGAAATAATGCATGGTGCACAAAGTTAGTTTGGAAGTGAAGCTGAAAGGGGCATTAAAACCAGTAATTCATTGCACCAAGGGTAGCATAACATTAGCACTTTACTGAACATTTTTCAGCGCTCCTTGGCTTTTATAAGAAAGAAAATTAGTTCCACCCAGAACTCTGACAAAAACCTTTTGATTTGATTTGGCTCCTCTTGGCAAAAGGCAAAGTTGTTGTGCCCACGCATGTCTTCCAGACATCCCACGAATTAGAATGGTGACTGAAGGAAAAAAGTCATCTGGGGAAGAGAAAAACTAGCATGAGTAACCTCTTAAAATAATAATGCTGAAAAAGATTCAATTGGGCACGTATAAACCAATTAAAGGACGAACAAGTAACACAATTGGCAGAGCTAGAAATTCAATAGACAAATTTGAAGATAAAAGCATAAGCTTGCTCCATGTGCAGGAGCTCCATACAATTACTGGAAAAAAACTAATAGGCTCTCCCATTATGTCTGTAAATAAACTTGGATAGTCTTAATTTAGCAGAGGAATGAAAGCAAGAAGAAAGAATAAAAGCAAATGGGTTATAGCATACACATTATTGAGTGACTCAAAACAAAAACATTTCTCTGATGGGCTATATTTACAGATAAGCTGCAAGACTTATTAAAATAGAAAAAGACTTAATTTGTATTTAACTGGTTTCTGTTCAAATTCCTATACTGCAACTCAGTTTTATCATGTGTTCTGGAGGCTCCAAAGTCACAAAAAATGAGCCTTAACAATCCAGCTGAAATTTCCTAATAATGTAAGAGCCTGCTGGATTAGAGCAAGGGTCAGTCTTATCTAGCATTCTGTGCCTGAATGGTACCTAAATATCAATGGAAAACCATAAACCAAACATAAATGGCACAGGGTTTTCTACTCATTCCCCAGTAATTGGTATTAAAAGATTCACTGACTTTAATAATATTCTATACAGCCATGATGATTACAGCTTTATTCTCTTCATTTTCATAGCACAATTCAGTTTCTAATCTACTTTGTAATATGTCTTTTTAAAATACCTTTTCATAAGGTTACCTAGAAGCCAATCTAAAAAGAAAATTTCATTTTTTACAGTGTATTCTAATAAAACCTTGCTCCAAAAATAGGCTAGTAAATGAAGAATACAAGAAATAAAACAGGCAAACTCCTAGTCAGTTTTTAAACAAACCAGGATGAACCATCCTGAAACTGAATTATCATCATCTTACGTTGAGCTGCATCTCACATATATTACCCAAATTTAATATGGCAGAATTTCACAATATTCTACAGTTCAGCACAATATTCTATAATGCAGAAGAACAGTTTAATTAACTGCAAACACGCATACACAATGATGCCTGAAAAGATACACACAATACATTTACTCACTTTGTTCATTCCCCAAAGGCTGCTCTAACATTGCAAGGATGACGCTGTTATCCAGGACAAAGTAGCGGAAGCTGTACTTGTTTATAGAAGGCAGACGAGCATATTTAATTAAGGTGATCTCATTTACCAAGCTACAAGGAGAAGCAGGACCACTGGGTGAAGGGAAAGCTCCAAGAACTTGCATGATGCTGTAAGCCAAAATAATAATTTAGTCAAGACATATTTAGTAGAAAAATTATTAGAATGTTGAAAGCAGCATAAATTGTATCTATGACATTTTTACTGGTATCTTGCTGTCATAAAGCATCAATCACTCTATAATTTTAAGTAATATAATCAAGGATAGGATATTTAGAGGAAAATGCTAAAACTGAAAGTATGTTCTTTAAAGTAAATAAATATTTCCAAGTTTCTTCAGTTTTAAGTAAAACACTGTTTTGAGCAAATTCATTGTAGAAACGTTAATCAAGCTAAGAAAAATATTATACTGTGGTTAACAGGATTACTTTCAATAATCTTTCATACCAGGTGAGGGTAGCTTCAGCTGCATCCTTCACTCTCATGGAAGCAGGATTTGGCTCTTTATCTCCTTTGTACTTAACTTCTTGTTCACTACTTCTGGATTTACTTCCTGAGATGCCCAGTTCCACAATCTCCAATACTTCTTTTAAACAATCCTAAAAAAGGAATGTACCACTCAGCTATTTAACGAATAACGCTTTAATAAAGAAATAAAGACCTTAAACAACTCTATAAATATTTGGGGGAAAACGAGAGGATGAATGTAGAGTAAAATGAATAAACTGAGCAGAAACAACAATAAGAAAATAAGTTTCTCAACAGAACAAGGAACCAAAAGAAGAATGCTCCATCTTTGGATTGGTCCAAAAAAACTAAAAGCAGAACCTATATTTAGATTTGTGGTATGTACTGTGCAGGGCTCCTGTTACATTCCTGTAAACTCTGAAAGTCTCAGAAGGATACTAAATAAGTAGATAATCCGTATGTGTGGATCACAGAAATCATAATGGAGACCTTTTACACTGTTTCAATTTGATATAGGTTAGGTTTTTCACTAATTAATTTCTTAGGTACTTTACACCATTAGTTTATTAGGGCAGCCACTGTATATTAAAAGCTCACTTTCCTGGCATTGATATCACTTGGATATTTTCAAGAAACTTTGTAATTTAACAGACCTTTTAAGAGCTAGAGGAGTCCAAAACAACCTACTACCTATGGAATCTATAATGATAAAAACTCTAAGATGCTTTTTGCTATTATTAAAACTTACTACTACTGGGTTTAAAACAGTGGTGGAATGCAATTTTTTTTACTACCGTTCTGTGGGCGTGGTATGGCTTGGTGGGCATGGCAGGGAAAGGATACTGCAAAATCTCCATTCCCTCCCCACTCCAGGGGAAGGATACTGCAAAATCCCCATTCCCTCCCCACTCCAGGGGAAGGATACTGCAAAATCTCCATTCCCATCCCACTGTGGGGCCAGCCAGAGATGGTATTTGCCGGTTCTCTGAACTACTCAAAATTTCAGCTACCGGTTCTCCAGAACCGGTCAGAACCTGCTGAATAGCACCCCTGGTTTAAAATAATATATATAGTCGTTTTGATAGCTAATGTTTGCAGGAGGAGGATATATGTCCATCATAATGTCTTTTGTGATTAAAAACATTTAAGAAAGAACATGCAAATTACCAGAGTTTTAGTAACTGCTTTTACTTTGCCCCATTTCCTGTGGCTTAATTGAGGCAGATGTCATGATTTGTTGTGGACTGCATATTTTGAAAACAAACTAAAGGATAATTCCTGGGGCAATTGTTGACGGGTGAAATGTGGTTTTCCAATGAAAACTTTACACTCCTACTTGTATTGCTTTTACAAACAAAACATGCAGATACAGTGTAGAAAGATATATAAGTATTCCTCAACTTATGACCACAATTGCGCTCAACATTTATGTTGCTAAACAAGATATTTGTTAAGTGAGTTTTGCCCCATTTTTACGAAATTTCTTTTCACAGTTGTTAAGTGAATCTGGCTTTCCTATTGACTTTGTTTATGAGAAGGTTACAAAAGGTGGTCACATGACTGCGGGACACTGCAACCGTCATAAATAAGAAACAGTTGCCAAGCAACTGAATTTTGCTGGTGACCACAGGGATGCTGCAATATTGTAAATGTGAAAAATGGTCCTCCATCATTTTTTCCAGTGCTGTTGCAACTTCAAACAGTCAATAAAGGAATGGTTGTAAGTTGAGGACTTCTTGTAGTTATTACCACAAATAACTATTTAAACAATACAATTAAAAGATGAACAGCGGTAAATGCAAGTATTTCGTATTGACTCATCAGTACCTACATTACAATAACATGGTTAAAAGACAATTACATCGGCAGAACTGATAGGTGCTTGGCTTTCAGAATAAAGGAGCATCTTCCAAAATGGGTCCAGACAGCATTGAGTAATCCAACAACAGCAGCAAATCATGGCCATAAAATGCCTTCTTCAGCCATTGCACAGCACTTACTAGCTACGGGCCACCAGGTGGATCCAAACTCTGTGTTAAAAAGTTTTACTGAGTCATAGTAACTCTTGTTTTCTGTGTTTTGCTGAAGCAGTTGCGATTGAAGCCTCCCTTGTGCGTGCAGAAACAGCTGTATGTCAATCTACGCCTCCTGTGGGCATAAGGCTTGTCAATGGTTGCTTTCTGCACACATTATATAGGCTTAATTAATGCTCCTGCTAGATCTTATATTTGAGGCTGATTTCAACCATGTTATTGTAATGTAAGTACTGATCAGTCAATACGAAATGCTTGCATCTACCACTGTTCATCTTTTAAGTGTATTGTTTAAATTATTAAAAGGGACTAATTGTTACAAATAACTATGCTTATATAGAGCGGTACTTTCACTCACCTTTTCATCAAGGATGTCTGGATGTTCGGTGAGCCAGACACAGAGACACTGAAACGCTGCTACTATCATGGAATGGAGATCTCTAGAATGGAGAGGAGCTGGACGACTACACTGATACACAATGTAGCAGCACACAGAGCTAATTGCTCTCTTCCTATCAGAAGAGTCAACACCAACCTTCATCTGACATGAGAAAAAAAGTTGCTTAGCTTTAGGAAATCACTCTCTACATTAAATCTAAATTAAAACCCTATAAATACACAAGTGAATTTAATATATCAAACTATAGGATGGATTGCAAAAGGCCCATGGATACTGGATTTTTATTTTCTTTTAAATGCTTCTGACTTAAAGAGCTTTGTTTTTAACTAATTTTATTTCGTTTAATTGCTATTCAATTCAGTTTTTTTGTAACATTTTTTTTCCAAGTAGGGAAAAATATGAGATCCTACTATGGAACAAGTTACATTGCCAGCTCTGCTAGACATTCCCAAAGGAGGAAAGAGATTTTGGTAAAGAAGTAAAGGGAAGATAAGCCCAAATCCTCCAGCCTAACCCAAATAATTCTCAGAAGATTCCCTAATGCTCACCTTTGCCAGGCCAGAGAGTAGCTCTAATGCAGCTAGTGAAATGCTCATTTCCTGTCTCCACTGTGCGTTGAGCCTCTGTGTTACCAAATGAATGCTGCGGATCAGGAGTCCAGCTGCAGTATCTGTATGAAGAGCTAGGATATAAACCCCAATACCACACACCACAGGGAGGGAAAACAACTAAGCATTAGTGACAATTAGCAAAGCAGTCCATCAGACAGAAGCTAAAGCAGCCACAATACACACAGAAAACAAAGTACACACTCCTCTGGGAAGTAAAACATTCAACAAGAAGTAACTTAGACTCTGAATGTTAATTAAGGTAGCTAAGTACTAATCTAAAATATTGCTCGATGCTGCCAATGATAAATTTGGCTAACCTAAATTTTCTGTGTGATCCCAGGCCTTGCTATTGTTATTTTTGTGATAAATTTTGAAATACTGTTTTAGCAGGAACTAAAACTTGAGCAAAATAAACATAACATTATTATGTAGCTAACAATATCCTATGTTTAGTGTTCTGTATCTAAATATTATCTTTTTCCAGAAATGGAAAATTTTCTGCATTTGAGAAGTGAATAGTTCAGAATGACAAGTTAAAAAAAAACTCACCTTTCCCCAACCAACCTTTTCTGTTGCAAAGTCTGGTTTTTAGTTGGCAATATTATTGTTTTGATAAAAACAGAAAACTTTTCCATGCCTGAGGCTTACTACTTTCACAATTCAATATTTTAGAAGTCTATTACCTTACTGAAGGCACAAACTACTCATAAAGCACAAAATAATATGGAACTAGATGTCTTTTTATAAAATATAACAGAAATACTGTTTTCTCCTCGTTTACCATGAATGAGCATTTTGGAAGCCATTGTAGGGCTAATACATTGCAAAGCACACCAAGTGGCTTAATACCTCTTAGAATCTATTTTTGATATTTTTGCCAGTTTTTTTCTGCCTTTACAAATATATTTGTTGCACTCACATAGATTATAAATCAATTCACGGTCACTAATGGACTTTTGTCTCTGTATTTTGAACTCACATTAATCAAAAACTCAATAACATATGGGCATTTTGCATAAGCTTTAATATCATCTTTGAGATTGATCCTTTTAGACAAAAAAGATGGAGCACAGGCCAAACAGTTCAGATTAGAATGGTCTTTAGATATACTGGACTTTCTACAATTCCCAAATAATATGCCGAAGGTTAAGTTAGGAAATGATGCACCTAAATATGTTGCTAATGCAGTCCTTAGTTTAGAGGCTGATCTTGCCAAAGTAAAAACTAGAATGTGGATAGCAGCAATAAAGTACACTTAATTAGAATCCATCCAGTTTGATCCACCTAATGCTAAGTAATAATTTTTATTCCAATTGGAAGAAAGTCTTTAACTGGAAAATCACATTGTGTGGCCTATTCCTAATTAATTTATGTATATTAAACAAGGATCAGGCTAAGGAATGGATTACACAACACCTCGTGGATCTAGTATTGAAGTTTAATCTTCTGCCCTACTTTGATAGGAGAATCACTGCATCTTATGTTTCTACACTGGTCTATCCTACGTATATAATTGGGTTTTCACAAGGGTATGTTTCAATGCCCTTCCCTTTACATTCTTAGAAGGGAAATACTACAATATTCCTTTAATTTGCCAGTTTAGCCTTTGTAGGATGGAGAAACTATTACAGGTACACTATAACACTGCCATTTTTATTCGAGTTTACATTTAAAAAAATGGTGATTTCTTTTCTAAATGAGTCCAGGGCAGTCAGATGATTACTTAGCTTTTGTACTAACTGACAAAAAATGTCCGGGTCACCTATAATACCACTAAGTTTTACCACTTAGCTTCAAGAAGCTTCCGAGAGCGCACTTCCAGTCACATAAATCTGGCTTGGTCTTTGTATATTTTTTCTGTACGTTTCTTTGTTAAGGCTGGGTTTTGATCATAACAGAGTTCTGCTGATTAAGTTGGGAAATAAAATTCTGCAACCTCATGTCCAATCAATAACATCCATTATGTAATGGCAAAGTGAGACTCATTTAAGTACATTACATAAGCCCTCACTCAAAAATCACTAATTAAACAAGACTGGTTAATGCTATAATAAGCTGAAAAGTTAATTTCACTTAACTTAGCTACCCTGAGGCTATGAAATGTGTTCTTTACTCTGGAAATACATCATGACTACTAATTTCAGGGAGGAAAGGCAAGAGACAGGAAGTAGAGTCTATAGGGAAGACTTCTAAATGATTATTCTTGTACATGTTGCATTATTACAGCTTTATGCTGTTCTTTATTATTATTCTCAGAATCGTTTTAGTCACTGGTGTGAGCCATCTTAAACAAGATAAAAAGTTGCCTCAAGCATGACAAGAACACTACATATGTATGAAGAAAATTAAGAATTTTAAGTTCAAAAGTGTTTCACGATCTTTTAGGTATTACAAGTTTTGCTATTATATGGTTTTTGTAAAAAAAATCTTTCACTTTGATCACTGGGCATTAATCTGAATCAAAGTTCTCTACAGAATGAAATGTTCTAATGAAAAAACCTACTACTGGCATAGTTAATATTATGTGACTCCTCTGATATCTTGGCAGAGACCTGGTTCCGCTTTTCCTAACAGTTCCATTGCATTTGCTTCATTATAGAGCAAAGCATATTTAAAAGCAGCTGAGACTGAAATATAATTTAAAACTTATGCTCATGAGATATTTATATTTTGAGACAATTCCAGATTGAAAATTGCATATAAATTATTAGTTTTGGTCACTGGAAAAAAATCACTTTATTTTATTCTACTGAGTTATTGAAAGGAGAGTTGCCTAAAAATTGCTAAATGTAGCACATACACTAATAGCATCATTGTTAGGTGAACCAGGTGACCGTCAAGAAAACCCAGCATGGCCAATAGACGCTTTATGTCATTTTTTGCCTGAAAACAACATAAAACCTTGCAAATCACGGTCACATGATCATAGAACATTGCAACTAGTTGTAAATGTGAGCCTGCTACCAACCGCCTGAAATGCAATTATGGGATTGTGTGTGTGTGCAGTTGTAACTTCAAGGGTAGGTCAGAAGTAGCTTTTTAAGTATCTGTTGTAACTTCAAAGAGTTGTTAAGCTCTGAGAACTACCTGTAATGGAAAGATGGAACTATAATAATGGAACTATATTCCACATAGTTAAGATTTCATAATGACTTTATATGTAATTTTTTTATTCTCCTTTTTCTCTTCAGTTATTTTTCTCCTCTGTATTCATATGTTAAAGTAATGAAAAAATTATTTTAAAAAGTATACAGGAGTTCAAAGTTTAATCAGATAACATACTACATTCCTCCATAAAAACACGGAACACTAGTCTACCTCAGGGAAATAATTAACTGTCTGTTAAGTCATGTAGTAAGAACAACTTATCTAATGTTTTACCTAAGTGATGGTTTTACGTTGTCATTAGTGGTAGAAAGGGATTCAGATGGATAATTAGATATGCAAAGAGTTGCCTGTCTGGTGAATTTATTACAAGTGCCTTCTGGGTTCTTAGGAAGGATGACTGGGATCTCTTAACTCTATTGAAGAAGGTGATCTTCAACTGCTATTGGTTTATCAGATTCAGAAATCTGTAAACTCAGATAACAATTGCTTCTTAATGCATATGAAAACAAGCTTTTCTAGTTAAAACAGTCATTCCGGCTTTCAGTTGCCACAGAAAAGTATGCCAGTATGTTCTAAATGAGACAAATATGTACTACTCTGCCAGGTCCTGAAGTGAATTCTATAATGAAAAGAGTTAGGTAGAACAATGATCTTCAAATGTAGTAGAAACACATATAACACACATATCTGTGCACATACAATGTTTTATATACATCTGATTAATATTGATTAATGAATCTTGGGTTTCTCCGACTAGTTCAAGAACACAGTATACATTTAGCACGATAAATACAAACAGAAGGGGTCAAAAAACTGAAATCAAAGCAAAGATTTGGGAACTGCAACATCTAGTGAAGTTATTTACATTCCCCCCCCCCCCAAAAAAATTACATCGACATTAGCACAGTGGCGCAGTGGTTAGAGTGCAGTTCTGCAGGCTACTTCTGCTGACTGCTGGCTGCCTGCAATTTGGTAGTTCAAATCTCACCAGGCTCAAGTTGACTCAGCCTTCCATTCTTCTGAGGTGGGTAAAAAGAGAACCCAAATTGTTGGGGGCAATATGCTGACTCTGTAAACCGCTTAGAGAGGGCTATAAAGCACTGTAAAGTGGTATATAAGTCTAAGTGCTATTGCTATTAGACTATTCCAACACAATACATGGGGCCACAAAAACCAGATGAATATTATACACATTTAGTAGTTTTCTGAAGGCTGTAAATAATGATCAGAATGAAATCATCTTTTCAGAATGAAAAAGTAACAATACTGAAAGAGTGGGTGGGTGGGAAGCAGCAACAAGAAAATAGATAGGAAAACTATTCTAAAACTAAAAACCTCCAAAACCACCTCACAGGGTTGTTGTGGGGAAAAATAGGAGGTAGAATCCCTTGAGTTATACAAAATAAAGGCAAAATAAAGTGCAAAAAAGCAAAAACACCAATTGTTACCAACACCTTTTCTCCTCTGTCCCTTATAATGACAATTATTTATTCATTAGCATCATTTATATCTGTATTTATCCTCTTCCAAGACTCAGGATGCTTACAGAGTCATAAACTAAAATACATATCCTAAAAAGTTATCTGTATAAACAAAAAACAAAATAAACTAAACCAGATCGGTTGAAAAGCAATCATTACCTCCTCCATCACCCAAATGCTTGCTGGAACAGACTAGAACTGCTGAATTTTGCTAGTTCACAAAAAATATGTGTTTTATCCTTTTTTCCCAATTAAAAAGTGTAAATTATTTAAAACCTTGCCAATCTTACCATAATCTCTCAGCAGAGCTTGTGCGGGTCTCTCACTGTCAGGAGTTGTTGGCTCTGTGCTTCCTCCACTTGCTGTGCTAATCCCACTGTTAGTGCGACTGTGACTTTTCAGGACGAGATTCTCACCACCATTCTGTTAATTCAGAAATCAGGCTTTGATGAGAAGGCTATTCTCAGAAAACCTTTGTGCTTATTGAATAATTTGCTTTGACTCACCAAAGCATCTCTTCTTAAAAATGAGAGAAATCTTACCGTTTCCATTTGGCAACCAATGGCTTCTAAAAGTGCTGAATCTTGCACAATGTTCAGCATCGCACCTGTGGAAGATTTAAGGTATGACAATATTTTTTCAGTTAACTTCTCTTTCTGTGTGACCTTATTTCTAATGATATTTGTTTTCACTGCCATTTTGTGAAAATCTATGCAACAAATAATTCCAGGACTTTTTTGCATGGGAAGACATTGCTCCCAATTTTTGAAAATTAGACATTTCTCTTCAGATTCACATTTACCAACTTCAGATTTCAGGTCAATTCTACTATATCCATAGTTTTTTTTGGGTGGGGGGGATTATCCATCATTATTTTTCCTCTGTGCACTGTTCACTGAATGCAAAGAGGAGCAGGATGGAGTTAGACTGGAACCAGTTTTGCCCATTTTTTAATCAATCACATGTAGTGAAAGCTTTATAGTTTGTAGCTAGGGCAAACTATTTCACAGCTAGTATTGATCTGTTTTGATGCTCCCAATATCTTTAAGGGTCTGGGTCAAGAATAAAATCTTTTTAAAAGAATGTGCATAATTGCAGCTTCCATTTTCCAGATCTAGTTTAATTACAGCTTCCATCTTTTCTTGGCCCTCATGACTAGAACTAGAATTAGAACTGATGGGAGTTAAACATCTGGAAGGCCATAAGTTGTCCACCCAAAATCACACTGACATATGCAATGGGGAATTTTTTGCACTTTAGTGTTTCAAGCATATTTTTGGACATGTGAATACAGAAGGTCAATGCAGATATTAATTTTTAAATTATGAAAACAAAAATAAAATACATTTTATCAATGTCAACGCTTCGCAATGTCTTCAAACTGCCTTATATTTGACAAAGGAATTTCTAGAGCACACTAGCCTTTCCCATGGTAATTTTTTTTACTGGTATTTGAAAGATTCTCCTCCTTTTTGTGTGTTTTTAGAGACTGCCCTTTATTTCCTATTAAGTATATGGTAAAAAAAGAAAAAGTGTATTTGGGGGGGAGGGGATTGTTTAAATAAATAAATAAAAAGATGTGTTACAAAACAATTGAATACATACATCTGTCAAAAAAAATTCTTAAGAGTTTTTTTAAAAATGTTTCTTTCTGTATGCTATCAGAGGAAAGTATATTTTGAGTCATTTGTCCAGAAATTACATTTTCTTCAAATGAGTCCCCAAAATATTATCCATCTGTAAGTGCAAATCTATAGAACAGCCCCTGCTTTCTGCTTACCACCACAGTAATATGTATCAATCATGTATAAACGCATTTTTTTTCTTTCTACCTGAACATCATTTCATTTTTAATTTCCTTAATCAATAAGATCAAATTGAAGTCATTAGAACATTACAAATATTATACGAACACATTCACAAATTTTGAAGAACAGTTATTTATCACTCTGGCTCCTGATACTGGACACCAAGGAAACAAAAAAATTAACTGTTTATAATCTTCAGTAACTAGAATCTGCTTTTATGATCGCTCAGGTAACATGCACAAAACTTTTTCCAAAAGCACACATCTCATGGATCAAGTAGAAAAACAACCTAGTATCATCTGTGTGTTGTTGGGGTCTGTTTCTGTCTGCAGGGCTCCAATCAATATGTTCACAAGTCTCAGTTTCAAAGAAAGAAAGGTGACTGGTTTATCATAGGAAGAACTTTCATCATTGCTGAATTTTCCTTCCAGAACAATCTGAAAAACATATTTGAATATAATCTTTATTCCCTTTCATGCATTTAGCAACTATCTAAATAAAAAAGGATGTTATCTTACTTTCTTACTTTCCCAATATATTATATTTCTACTCTGAACTAAAGAAATATTTCTCAACAGAGCTACTAAATGAACTATAAACTGTAAAACTGATACTAACTAGCAATTTTTAAAAAAGTCTATGTAAATTAAAGAAATATAATTAACGTTCCAGTTATATTCAGAAACTTGTATTTATAGAACTGTGAATTCTAAGTATGAAACGCCAAAAGAATGGAGTGGTAAGAATATCCCAAAAGGAGATGTCAATAATCTTTCTGCATAATAAAGGTGAGTCTTACTTAACTATCACACTGTATTACCAGCTCAAGATACAAAGTATGTATATGATCCTGTATATTTGAAATTACAATATGGTATATGAATGTCCAAAGTCGTAAAGTATTTTATCTTAATGAGGTATTACTTGATACAAGATACTTGATGTGGTATAATAAAACCACACATTTTCATTCATGTTGTGAATTTATTTCTTTTCTATGTAATAATGCTATTTTTAGCACTTGGAAGTATCCTATACTAATTGCTAGTTTGGCTATGTTTAGACTAAAATTATTTTTTTTAAAAAATCACTGAAAATCCCTAAAATCCATTACCTCTGATTTGATTGTTCCAAAATGATGAGGAAGAGGCAACAAGGACAGTAAAATATTGATAGAGGCCCTTCTTAGTTCTGTGGGATTCACGTATGTTTTAAATTTTGAGAGCTCCCTGGGTAAAAACAACAACAAAAAAATGATAAAGGTTTTTTGAAACCCACCACTTCTTTTCAAAGCAAAAATATCCTATTTAAATGTGCAAGTGTAACATTTAATATTTGCTCAAGATTCACCAAAATGTCATGATTTGCTGATAGAAGACCCCAATGCATTTATTTTAATGGAAAAATTGTAGGCAGAAAACATTGGAATTCTTATTCAGTTTGAATACAGGTAATTTCATGTCATTTATACCTGATGTTAAGGACAAGATGTTCAACTCTGTTGAAATACTCTGTCTTCTACCTCAGAAGATGTCAATATTTTAGATGGGTGGACTGAACAAGACCTTTTGGAGAACTGAGCATCTTAGTCAAATATAAGTTAGTCCTGCTTTCAATCCATAGCATCTCTAGGTAAGACAGGAAAAATCCCTATCTGATAGTTGCCATAAGTTGGTGTTCATAGCACTGGGATAGATGGAGCAACACTTATGCTATGCTTCTATATATGATGTAAAGGTAACTTTACTCTCAAAATGATCAGATTTATTTTTTAAACTTTATAACATAGATAAAGGAGCCATATAAGACAATCCTTTCTTTAACAAGTCTGCCCTAAAATCAATGCAACTATATGTTTGACAGTTGTAGCTAATGTAATAATGAAAGCTACATGTTCAAATACACGCTTCTCAAAACTGAGTTATTTACTTGGCCTATCAATAGTAAAAATCAATAATAATTAAAACAGATAGAAAAATATTATCTAGTGCTCCCAACTGTATTGATTTCTCTTATTCATTTTTAATGGGATCAAAATGCATAAAATAAAATAGCATACCTTTTAGTAAACATTCATATAACATGTATGCTACAAGACATTCAAACATAACAAACTATATCAATAATCTTTCTCTCCCATTTTGCTCTTTGCCCTTTGATCTGTATTTCTAGGTTAATACAGGTAGTCCTCGACTTACGACCATAATTGAGCCCAAAACTTCTATTGCTAAGCGGAACATTTGTTAAGTGAATTTTGCCCCATTTTACTACCTTTATCACAATTGTTAAGTGAATCATTGCAGTTGTTAAATTAGTATCACGGGTGTTAAGTGAATCTGTCTTTCCCATTGACTTTGCTTGTCAAAAGGATGCAAATGGAGATCACATGACCCTGGGACACTGCAGCCATTATAAATATGAATCAGTTGCCAAGCATCCGAATTTCATTCACATGATGGGGGGGACATTGCAACAGTCATTAAGTGTGAAAAATGGTCATAAGTCACTTTTTTCAGTGTAACTTTGAACGGTCGCTAAATGAACTGTCGGATCTGTATTCTTTAGAATACAGAATAGCCTTCCTCAACCAGATGCTTTCCAGATCTGCCGAGGCTGCAGTTTGTAGAATTCCTTGACGACATGGTAATCCCACTTCTGTGGTTCTGAAAATATTCAGCAGTTTATAAACTAATATGAATGTTAACAATTTACCTGTCAGGTAAGATAGTTTCAAGTGCTGAAATGAAGTAAGGAACCAAGACATCAATCCCCTTCAGGTCACAGCAGAACAAGGCAGGGGAGTTTAAGATGACACTAGCCAAAACTGGGTGGCAAACAGAATCAGCTATCTGCAGTCCCTGAATTAAAAGCATGTAAAACCTGGCAGAAAAAGAAAAACGTAAACAGTTATAGGAAAGAAGTATTAGCAAATCAAGATTATTTTAGATGGTCAACAGCAAAGAGAAATTTGGCATTTATAGTGAGGCATCATGAGCATCTAAAATAACTGCTACATTTTTCTGTTTCAAATGAAATATTGAAAATGATCATGCTTGGTTCGGTCTTGCACATGTTTTAATTAGTTATGCTGAATTAAAATATCAGTTATTTATTGCATTTATTTATTTTCCCTTCCATTCAATCCAATCGTGTGCTATTCTTAATGACTTGCCTGCAGTTTTCTTGGCAAGATTTTTCAGAAATGGTTTGCCATTCCCTCCTCCTTAGGGCTGCAAGACTCGCCCAAGGTTGCCTGGATGGCTTCGTGCCTAAGGCAGGGCAAGAACTCATGGTCTCCAGGTTTCTAGCCTGAAGCCTCCGCCACTACACTGAACTGTTTCTTATATTTATATACCATTTTTATTTATATCCCATCTTTATTCTGAGAGCTCAAGACAGTTTATATCTCCCTATCTACATAATAACTATGAGATGTTGGACTGAGAATGACTGACCAAATCATCCAATAAGCTCCTTAGTAGAGTAGGGATTTGCACCTGGGGTTTCCTTCTTTTAGCTAAAAACTTTTACCACCGGGGCTACCCTACTGTTACTATGCTGGGATGGCAGGAAATCTTTCAAACACAATGAGTAAATTACAATTTAAACCCAAAGGAGTATGTCTATTTAGCACATCATGACTCACTTTTAGAATACTAAAAATAAAAGGTAAGCGTAGGTTCATCTGATTTGAAGTCATTTACTAATCACCAACATGAAGCTATAATTTAAAATACTATATTTTCTTTACACAAAAAGACTATTTGATTCAGGGACTGACTACTTATACTTCTGTCCCTCCCTGTAAATAATAAGACTCTCCAGTGCAGTGGTGGGTTGCTCCTGGTTCGCACTGGTTCGCAAGAACCGGTAGTAAAAATTTGTAGTAGTTCCGAGAACTGGTAATAACATTGGCTGGCCACGCCCCTGAACCGGTGCCCAGCCCGGTTGCCGCTTGCTTACCCCGCCCATCTCATCAGAGGCTTTTTTTTTTTAAAAAAAACAACCTTTTAAAAGCATTTTTTCTACAATCTCTTCGGTCAAAAAAATGCTTTTAAAAGTAAAAAAAAAAAAAAAAAGCCTCTGATGATCCCGCGGCTCACCTGGGAATATCAGAGGCTTTTCAAAGCATTTTTTTCTACAACCTCTTCACCTGAAGAGGTGGTAAAAAAAATGCTTTGAAAAGCCTCTGACGATCCCAGCTGAGTTGCCTGATGGGCAGAGGCTTTTCAAACCATTGTTTTCTGCAACCTCTTAAGGTTGTAGAAAAAATGCTTTTAAAAGTTAAAAAAAAAAATTGGCCATGCCCACCCAGTCACATTACCCCCACAAGCCATGCCCACAAAATAAGCCATGCCCACAGAACCGGTAGTAAAAAAATTTAGAACCCACTCCTGCTTCAGTGGTGAAATCCAATTTTTTTTACTACCAGTTCTGTGGGCGTGGCTTGGTGGGCGTGTTGTGGCTTGGTGGATGTGGCTTGATGGGCGTGGCAGGGGAAGGGTACTGCAAAATCCCCATTCCCTCCCCACTCCAGGGGAAGGATACTGCAAAATCCCCATTCCCTCCCCACTCCTGGGGGAAGGATATTGCAAAATCCCCATTCCCATCCCACTCTGGGGCCAGCCAAAGGTGGTATTTGCCAGTTCTCCAAACTACTCAAAATTTCCGCTACCGGTTCTCCGAGATGCTCAAAATTTCCACTACTGATTCTCCAGAACCTGTCAGAACCTGCTGGATTTCACCCCCGAGACTCACCACATTAAGCTATATGCAGAATTACACAATTTGGGAAAAAGAGAAAAGAATTGCTATTTTCCTTATTGTTGTCATTATTACACCCTTTTCATATTAACATTTTCCTAAAGTGATGTGGGAAGCATATAATGAGTAAAACTGTATTTTATTTGCTTAAAAAAAGGTGGAATCCAAGATATGCTTTTATGTACCCAAATTGATAGGATGCAGTTTAATTTAAAATTACTTAATTTAAAATTCCAATATCTGAAGTGCCCAAACATTAAGAAGCTGAAAAACTCCTTCATATGTAGCAAAGATATATAACAGAATATTTGAACAATTCAAAATGTAAATCAGTACCGAGATAAGTAGGCTGGCAGTATATCTTCTCCGGTTTTCTTGCTACAAAATATTCTACAGAGTGTTCCACATGCCTCTGCTCTGCCAGATTCATAGTTGTCAGAAAATTCCCCTGCATCAAACATAGGATTGGAAGCCACAGTCTCTGCAGACATTTGTGAACCTTTCCTGCGAAACTCCATATTTGCTTGTGTTGCTATAGCTAAAACAAAAACAAGAAGAACAGAGTTTCATTACATTTGAAAGTATATCCAATAGGCTCATGGGATCCTGGACACAAAGATCATGTCAAATTTAGTAATCATAAAAAACATTAGTTTACTGCATTTACGTTAATGCCTCTGTTTATAAAGCATTTAGGGACTATGACTTTTGTAAGAAAATTATTTCCTTTTCACCTTCACACACAAGTAAATCTTCTCCTCCTTCAGCAATCCATGCTACCCAAGCGCAGAAGCCTCTGCTCCATTCACATTCTCAGCCAGATGCATCAACAAAAGCCCTGAAACTTGTTTTACAGCAATGTCATTAATTTTCTTTACCCACTATATAAATCCTTTATGTCCTCAAAAACATGACCTGACCTTTTAACTATCCAGCAAGCTCTCGGGTTCCCAATTACATTTTGCCGCTATTGTGAGCCTGTACTGGAACTAGAAATAAGGATGCAGGCAAATGCCAAATTCCAAATCATGTCTATAGAAAATATTGCTTCAAAAAAGCCAAGAGATATATTTCTATGGCACCAGAGAAAATGCTCAGAAGAAAATGCCTTCCATACACATCTCAATTTTTTTCTCCTACAGTTGTTTTGTCTTCATCAAGCCTGCTTTCCAGAAGTATGAGTCGCTTTTATGAGATACACAGGGGATGGTATGGCAAAGGTGACCTGAGTGCTGAGATGGAAATTCCTGCATGCTTATGAAACTTTTGGTGGCATGGATTGAGGAAAAAAATTCAATACAGTTTAAAATACATCAGGAAGCTACAAGGAGTTCACTCTTCTCTTTCTGTGGCTATATTTTTTCCAACAGGCACCGAGCATATTTTATCACAAACCTCTACTGTCATTAATGCTCTCCTGAAACATGTAACTGTTCAATTTCTTCCAGCTATCAGCCAGAATGTCCCCTACCCAATTCCTTTCTTCCAGGTATGTTAGGTGAATTCTAGCAAATATGAACAGTTTAAGATCATGCAGATGGATGCTCACAAAAAAGAATAACTCCAGTACTAAAAAAAAAAAGCAACTGTTAGTCCAATTCTACCTTATTTAGGGGAATGGAGAAAGATATTTTACAGTGTAATCCTCTGCCGGCTTCCTCAAAAGTCTCACTGAATTTAAAACTCAGAGTTACTTCTGAGAAAGCTACATAGGATGCAGCCTATGTCAACTACAGTCTTACAAACAGAAGCTCTGTCCATGCACTGAATGTTTATTACTAACAGATTGGTAATTTAGAAGAAATAGGTTAAAATAAATTTTATTGTCTTTTTTTTTTAAAAAAAGATAATTTCTTCACTAATTTTATTTTGGCACAAGGTAACTAAATCCAAATCTTTATGTGTCTTCCCATGAGCCATTTTTTGTCCTGAATAAGCTATCCAGCATATAATGTTATATTGGGGCGGGGAGGGGGGAGGAGGAAAAAACTACATGCAGAATGCATACAAATCAAAACACCAGATCTGTGTAAAAGAAGCTTTATGGGAAAAAAACATGGTTAGTGCAAATTCCTATAATTCATGACACGAACACAGACTAAAGTACAGAAAATGATGGGACTAATGTCAGGCAGATTTGCTTTTGCCAACAATCTTTCCCGCTTAAAAAAGCACACACAGCTACTTGTCTTTCCCGTGTAAAGAGCAACAGCTACAAGGAATGACAATGATACAAATTTAAAAAATGGGATTATGAAAAAAAAAGAAAAAGAAAAAAAAACATGACTGCAATTAAAGAGAAGCTACTAGTTCCTACTTACAAGATTTATAAGAAAGAAGAATTTGGATAAAAGATGCTGCAAGATAATAGAAATAAAATGGAAATAAATCAAAGGACAGCAATAGTTATAAAATACTTTAAAATGATGAAACTGTAATAACAAGTTAAGTAGTGTTTAGGGTTTTGAAACATGTATTAAAAGCTTATGATCTAGCAGGCTTGTTAAACACATAGGAAATTAGCATTACGGTTCAAAATTATGATTTCATGCAGAATTTTGAAAGATTTAAAATACTGTCATGGGTTTCATGTATTGTACACTTAGTTTTACAGTATTATTCAGAAAGCAATTTGCTTTTATTCATGTATCAGCAAATGAAGATCTACACTATAAGGAGATCATAAAGAGATGGGAGAAAAGAAAATTTACTATCTGTTTATCTCACATCAGATCAATTTGTTTATTTGCAGTTTCCACTGGGATGGCAAAATGCTTTCAAACCCTTTCTTCAGAGAAAAAAAAAGCAATAGAAGAAACTTTTATTCAAGGTTACCAAATTACAAATCATCTGGGAAACAAACAGACCAGAAAGGGGTTCATAAGAAATCCTTTTTAATGTAAAAGGTAGTTAAGCATCTTATTTCACTCTGAGGATCACACTGGAATTAATTAATTAATTTGTAACTATGAAGATTTGTGTGGGAATAGGAATGTATTGTCTGTTTTAAATTAAAGCTAAAACAAATTCAATCATTACTTATGTGCTGTAAAGTACTTTGCATAAAGTAGTTCCTGCATAAATCAAAGCAAAATTAATTATGCCATCATATCCACTGATAAAACAAAAATGTCTCCAGTCTTAGAAAAGCCACTTCCCATACGGTTATTACTTCCCCAGCAATCACTTATTTTAGATAGAATGTGAGGCAACACATCTAATTTCTCTGTGTTGTATCAAGGGCTGCTAAATAACAACTTAATTGAGAAGAATTGAGGCAAGAAAAGAGAACTGTTCAAGCTTTCTCTTCAAGGGTTCTGCAATCTGTAGCTGCTATCAACAAGCATGCCTTTTGCACATTTGTTATCTTACTTTAAGGGCACTTTTTAAGTAACCCTTTATCCATTTTCATGTTGATATTTTTGCTACAGCAATATATATATGTTCAGATTCAAGACTATCTAAAAATAATAATTTCCAGCAACCTATTTGCTTTTCTAGTATAGAGTGAAGGGTTTGAACGGCAAGTCTTGAAGTAGAGAATGTTCCTTCCACAAAGTACATGTTTGTGCAAAGGACCACTTTCAGCAGTGCTTCAAAGTAATGAAATAATGTACTGTAGTTCCAATATTGGCTATTCAAATTACCTTTTAAAACAAGCAACTAAACATAGAAACAATCTTTCACCAAGTCAAAACATTAAAATAACATGATGTTTCTATTTTAAGAGAAACAGAAGTAGTAAAACATAGTAAAATCCAACCAAATGTAGCAAGCAAGGCTAAAAAAACAAAAGGATAGAACAGGGAAAAATGGTTGAAAATTAGACTCAAAATTCATGTGAATCTTTATTAGTTTAAACTGCGTAACATGTAGTTAAGCCTACACAAACAGGCACATGACACTTGAATGTTGAGAAGTTACAAAAAGGAGAGACATTCCTTCATTTCTTTACAGTACCTCCTTGAGTGGCCAGCAACTCCTCTTGTCTAACAACCGTTAATTATTCACTCAGTTATTGCAACTCTTCTGAATTTGTCTATTCCTAAAGCAAACAGATCACACTATCCACTTAGTCCAGTTTTGTGTATTTCAATTTAGCAGTAGCTCTGTAGAGCTTTAAACAAGGGTTTCATTCATCTGAAATACACAGAGATAGCCCACTCCCATGTCTTGAAGGGCTTTAAAGCAGTGGTGAAATCCAATTTTTTTTACTACCGGTTCTGTGGGCGTGGCTTGGTGGGCGTGGCAGGGGAAGGATACTGCAAACTCTCCATTCCCACCCCACTCCAGGGGAAGGATTTCAAAATCTACATTCCCTCCCCACTCCTGGGGGAAAGATATTGCAAAATCTTCATTCTCACCCCATTCTGGGGCCAGCCAGATGTGGTATTTGCCAGTTCTCCACACTACTCAAACTTTCTGTGACCGGTTCTCAGAACTGCTCAAACTTTCCTCTACCAGTTCTCCAGAACCTGTCAGAACCTGCTGGATTTCACCCCTGCTTTAAAGATTAAAACCAGCACTTTGAGGTAGACCCAGAAGCAAACTGGCAACCAATGCAGCTTATAGAAGAGAGATGTAACATATACTGTTGAAGGAACAAACTGTACCAACTGAAGCTTCTGGATATTCTTCAAGGGCAGCTCCACGTACAGCACACTGCAGTAGTCGAATCTGGACTTGATTAGGGCATGAGTGATTATAAGCAGGACCATCATCATGAGCAAAAAGACAGTGATGAAAGTCAACTGGGAAGATGGAGTGCAGGGAGGCAGGAATCTTGGAGCGCAGGGTAGCAAGGGACTGGGATGGCTGGGGCTCCTTGTGACTCCTTGGGGAGTTGCAAAATTATGGGGTTGTTTGCCATTCCACAAAGGCGAGGCAAGGTGAAGAACAGCCAAAAGGGAAGAATTTGGGGTGGGGGTGGGGAGATAGGGAGGTAGGGGAGGCAATTTCTTATTATGGCTCAGGGCAGGAACAGACCAAGCCTGGAACAGCTTGGATTGGTAACAACCAATAAAATTCACTCAAAGATAGTAATGCTGGGATTGCAGTGGCTAATCAATTGGTCCCCAATGGAAGAGAATATATGTAGTTCAAAGTTGAACTGTGAAGTCTTTGGTGCTCTCTAAGCTTTGTTGCTTACTGGGTAATATCTTCAGTATAGAAGGGAACAGGGTTTGCTTTGTGTTTATATACAGTAGTTTGCCTATGTCAAATCTCCCAGGTAAACCAGACAGGAGATACAATTAGATGACCTAATTTTATTTTATTGTAAATAACAGAATCCTGCAAATCTGAAAGTAGAAACTTCCTGCCACCACTTTTAACGCCTTAATTCATTAGAATGAGTCCTTCCTTAATTTTTTTCTCTGACCGTTAAGTCACTGGAGCTCCTGCCTCTCTTGTCTGATTATTTCCTAGACAGCATCTCTACACCCTTCCAATGGGAATATTGTTTACTTCTTGGTATTTTCTGGATTATGCTATTGTTTATTGCTTGTTTACTGCTAAAAGGAATCAAAAAGACCGGAAGACTTCTTCGCCAGCAATCAATACCCAGATAAGCAATGATATATACCAGGATTAACACCAAACAATTAAACACTAAACAATAATCAAGGAACTATTACCTCAGACAAACAATCATATGTATATGTATACTTTGTGGCCAAGGCAGAAATAGAACTAATGGTCTCTTGGTTTTTAGGAAGGAGAGAGGGAGGGATACTAAGGTGGGGAGACTATAGTAAGTATAATGAAAGCCTTGGGATAAAATGATACAGAACAGCAATATGAGGTACAGAACTCTGATGATACAGTTGCATCCAAAAATGAAAAGCAGCTACAGAATCTCAATGGTTACTTTAAGGATTGAAACTCTGTGAGGAACGATAAGGCATACATGGAAAGAACATAGTTCAAAAGGACAAGCAGGAAAAACTTAGATTAGAACAGGAAAGAAATATGGCAAGAAATGAGCACAATACATATATATATATCCTGAATATATATTTTTCCTGAAATATATTTCCTGAAAAAATATCTAGATAAATAAAAATATGACTGGGGTTGTCTGATTGATAGGACAATTTGGTAGCTATAGGCAGTTTTCAAATTTTGCATATTGCAAGGCAGCAAGCCCTTTATGTATAGATCTTATATTCTCCATAGCACGTTTTTAGAAGCTTTAAAATTTTTTAGTGGTCCTTAAATTCTTGTTCCTGTTACCTATATCAGGTAAAAACTTCCAACTTTAACAACTTTAAAACAACTTCCCAGTCTAGCGTATAGCCCTGGACTTCTTAGGTAGCTTAAATACTAACCAGCCTCAAACTAGTTTTGCTTTCTAGATCAGCCAAAGTCAGCTATGTATTGCACAATGCAAATTAGACTAAGTACTAGAACAATATGAAATGTATAAAAAAACAAAGAAACCTTTTTCACTTACAAATTCTTAGCATCTTAGTATTGTATGTTTAAATATCAATAAATGCTACTTAAGTTTACTATTATTATAGTAAAGGCTTGAGAATTTTGTGGAGTCAGTGGCTATATTTTCCACAGAATACAGAATCACAAGCTACTACAAAGTATTATGCAATCTGATTCCGAGTTATATCAACATGAGGTATTCTTACTGAGCTAGGAAAAAACTATGAGCCAAAAGCTTCATTCTATTATTGTCTGGAACATTATTATACATTATTTCTGCTATGTCCAATTTTATATGTAAATTTAAAAAATAACTATGAGACAGTCAGATAAAATAAAACTAAAGATCAAAACTACAGGTTTACAGAACCCTTGAAGCTAAAGAATTTAACTAATTATTGAAATGCACAGATTTCATGACAGAAATTCTGAAAGAAACCCAAATAGCAATTCTGGGGGAAGAAAATAACACATCTTATTAAAGTGCTTTCCTGCCTGTTCTACCAATTGACTGCTTGAAATAATTCAGTTAGGAAATTTGGTTTTGAAGTAGTGCTTTTTAAAAGCATAGACGTAAACAATTCCCTTCATGCCACTTTCTCTTAGCCAATATGTTGCAGAAGACATCTTTATTAGTGTCAGTGAAAATACAGTAAGTGACCTAACTACAAAATTTGACTTTTAACTGTTACAGTCCCTTAAATTCAAGATGCTATTTATATTAAATTAATATAATATTTTACACTGACATAAGTTAATCATATAATTTTTCAGATTTTAATTTTGGTTAGCCAAACATGTTAATGCCAACAAAGAGGATGAGGTGTACAAAATGGGTGAAAATATTTACCAGTCATACTGCTGTCCCTGTTTATTCCATTATGAAGCTTACAATGAACAAAGGCTGCATCAAACAGCCATGATCCAAAGAGGTTCAAGATACTGTTAACTTTTGGCCTGTGAGGAGCAGGTAATGGTCGAGGTTCAGAACTAGTCTGGTTTGGGCTAGACAGCGGAGAAGTAGAAGATGGCTGGTGTTTGGAAGCATGAGCAGTGTTAGCCTATTTGAATGAAAAAAACAGAAAAGCATTTGTTTAGAACTCTAATATACTTATAATATAATATCAATTATCATCTGTATTATAAGAAATGTCAACGCAACATAGCTGTTGCTAAGGATAAAGACTTACTGTGCTGTTTTTCATTGTTGGTTTATTCACAGTTACAGCACGATGTCTTCGATTATGAGGTGGGGTTGTATTAACAGCTGCAGTTTGGGGCATGCTCAATCTATTTACTGGTGTAGGTGGAGCACTATCAGCACGGGGCCTTGAAATACCTGAAAAGTGTAACATCAATTTGAACCTGAAGTTCTTCCTAAAATCAGTGGTATCTTTTTAGAAATATAGAAAATTAGTCTTTCTAAGGCTAGAAAGATGCAAAAGTTTTAAAACTATATATATTAACTAAAACATAAACAGATTTGAATGTATGCCATGAAAACAGAAAGAAAACTATAGAAATGAAGAAAAAAGTTATTTTTTTACCAAATTGTTTAATAGTCTTCAAAATTTTAAGAGAATGGTCTGCCTCTAATATAAGTAATAAAGTATTAAAGTTAAATGCATAGCTTTCTTATATCTAGTTGAACATTCTTCAGAGTGCTAAGCTACAGAAAACCAGTAGGGGTGAACTGATTAGGCATTTATGGGGGAAAAAAATCCTTATGTGACAAGAGGCTCAATGAAACAATTCTACATAAGCGTATGTAGTGATATGATGCTCTACTTTCAAAAAAATTGTAGAATGCTTTTGCAAATATTTCACTTATGCTTATATTATGATATTAAGAAGCGTTTTTCCCTCCCAATTAATTAACTGTAACTTGAGGGAGTCAACCTTATAATACTGGTCAGAACAGAAAAAGCTGTAATGGTTTAGAAGCATTCATAAGGGGCACTTCATTATAGACCAACCAAGCATCCGCTTTTTGATGCGTTAAATCAATTATGTGCTCTGAAAGGCTGAGAAGGAGCACCAGTTGCTTCAAAGAGTTTTCTCAGTTTTCCACATGGGTATCTTGAACAGGTAACATTTCCACTGGAAATACCAGCAGAGTTGAGACTATGGCTGGTTTAAATGCTTTAGTAAGTGTTTTGCCCCTTTTGAATACTTTGGACAGAAGTTGTGGAAAATAAAGAAATGTACAAGAGATCAGTGCTGAGTTGTCGGGCCACCACAAACAATTAGTCATTACTCAAGAAATAATGAGTAGCTTTCTTTTGTTTCTCCCCCTATCCTGCTCTTTTTCTTCCTTCTCTTTTACATGCAGTTACCCCTGTTGTATTCCATTTCCATGTTTGTTTTGCAAGAAATAATTCTGTAAGAAATAATTAACAGAGCTCTCTATTTTACAAGAAATTAATTTCAATTGTATTTATTAATATAACTAATAAATTTTTGTCTTACTCTGTGTATATTTGGGATTGTGGCTTTGTGGAGGTATATAAACAGATATACACATACCCACACATACATACTAGTGTGCCATAAGCACACGATTACTGGGAAATAGAACTTCTCCAAAAAAGGTTTCAGCCGGAGTTGGTAGCTGAAGCCAAGATGTAGCTTCCAATGGCATTACTGAAAAGAAGGGCAAAAATTTCAGTTTGCTTTCCTACTTGTGGGAATACAACTTTCTGTTAAAGGATGGGTTTAGGAATCAGAATAAAAGCATTTTATCTCATGCAGATATTTCCGTCTCATTCTTCCACAACACTGTCCTTATACTACAAAATGAATTAATAAATTAATTAAAAATAACCCTTTTGAAAATCATCTTGTTGCAGAACTTGTTGCAGTTGGATTTCAAGTTATTTTGGGGACCACAAATGGTATGCCAGGAACTGCATGGAGCCATTTTCCCCAATTGCCCACTCCAAATATACAGCTACAAAATATCAATGTAACTTAAGGCCTGAAAACGCAGTGCTTAAATTTATTTTTAAAACACCACAGAATTCAACTTTACTGTAGCAAATATTAAAAAGTTTCATTCTTCCCATTTTAGAAACAATATATTATTTTGTAGCAAAGTTCTCCTGCATCAAAATACAAATTGCTCATGAACATTTCCCAAATCATTTTAAGGAAATCTCATTTATGTTCATAAACTTCAGAAATCAATCTTGCTACAACTTACTCCCAATTTAGTGAGCCTAAGGAATAAGGATAGGAAAGCTCCTCAGTTTTTCTCATAAAATTATGTCTTTTATTGTTTTTTCTGCTTTAGCTATGGAGTTAGAGGATTTTTTAAAAATGAACAAGAAAAGAGGCCCTCAACAACTTTCTGAAACTTTGATAAAACTTCTCTTGATGGCTGAGGAATCTGGTTGCCTCAAAGTGACGTATGAGCAGTCAAATTACATGGAAGTCTAATCTATAAGTATAGAAAAGCTGTTTCTAACAAAACTAAACTCCATTGTTCTCTAGATGTAGGGTATAGTACAGAGGTTCCCAAACTTTGTCAGTTCACGGCACCCTAAATAGCTCTATAATTTTTTCATGGTCCACCAAAGCCAAAACTGTGAACTACTTTGAGCTGGTAGTTCACAATATCATAGCACCTCTGTAAATTTGTTGTGCAGCCCAGGGAAACCAAAGGTATAATGTATTTCTTCTGTATCGATGTGATTTTGACTACTGCATTTCTGGAGCTCACTATTTTGCTGTCATTTTCAAATCTCAAATGCAAGACAGAATTCTTCATTCACAATTAAAAATATTAAGGGAGGTCTTTAAACCACAAATAAAAGGACAATTTACAAGTGAGTGATTAACAGCTCTCTTCCACATGCCTTGGTATCACAATCAGCACAATTGAAACAGATCTGTTTGTCATAGTTTAACAAAGAGAAAGAAGCAGTATTCTGTTATTAAACAATTATTCAAATGTTTGGGCTTTTATCAGTTTTAAATTGACAAATAATTCAAAGATTGGTTTTAATGCAAATTCTGCATTTGACTCATGATTAAGTGTAGCTCTCTCACGTTGCAATAAATTTTAAATAGCATTCTGAAAAAAAAGTCCATATAATTAAATTATATTCTTTCATAGTCTATTGTAATTTATCGTAGGATGTGACAGGAAAATATTTCATAAATATTAAAATGGAATGACTATAGCTGATCTGCTTATTTTCAAAGTGTGTTATGTTAACCTATTCATACACATCATGTTTTTCCCCCACTAATAGGCATAACAGCCCTGCTGGATTAGCTAGACCAGGAATCTATACACCGCAGCCAAGCAGATGCCAACAGGAAACTCATAAATTAGACATGAGTACAATATCATCATCCTGCTCATGCTCCCTGTCAGCTCCTATTCAATAGTACTGAATATTTAATTATCTATTCAACCTCTAACACTGCAGTTATGAATACACAGACATCATAACTACCAATTATTTGAATACCTTAGTCTCTGTGTATTTATCTTATTTTAAATATAACTAAGATTGCTATATTTGGCATCAGCAAATTCTGTAGCAGCAAATTCCAGAGCACATTGCAAAGTAATCTAATTTTATTTGTCCTAAAATTTTCCTTCTTCTTTTTCATTCAACCAGTAGTTCCCAGTTATAACCCATCAATAATTTTATCAAAGAGTACAGATCCCGTCATGATGGAAAGACCACTTCTTACAAATATATTTGAAGTTATTCTATTATAATACTTATAATTTTTGGTAAGGTTTAAGTTTTCACTCCATACTCCACCTCACTAGTCCTATGTATCAACAGCTGAAATTCATTGCAATAGATTATTTCATATGCTGGTATTATCACATTTTTTCATCTCAAAGAATAATTTTATATATTTCCATTACACCTTTTTTGAAGTTACAGCATTTTTTTTTTCTCAAGGAAACTTCTTTGATTAGGCAAATTATGTTTTTTGTACTTTTTTCTGTTACACAGTATCACAGTGCAAACATTAGAAATATACATCATAGCACCAGCTTTAAACTACTTCAAAGTACTTTACTACCAGTAAAATTTATAGTTATCCTAACTATTCATTGTCTGCATTGTCTTTTTCTGTTTTTTTAATAGCAGCCACACACTGAATTCATATCAAAACCTCAAGACTTTCACATTCAGTTCCCATTACCTCAATCGCTATCAGCAACTACCTGGAGTTAAGAATTTTGCCTAATGTGAATCATTCTGTATTTACCTATGTGGAACTTCAGTTGCTTATTTAAATACTCATTTCTGCCATCCATCTCAAGTTTGGCAATATACACTGCACTTTTGAAATTTAAGTATTCTGTTTAATGCTCCATAGAAAGAATCCTTCCCCTTTATTCAAGCAATCCCTTTGTGGATTTTTCAAAAAAATTAATTTATGAGATATTTTCCCTATTTCTCAATGTTTGGAAAATTTAAACATGTCTTAATATGTTCCTGCATAGAAGTATGTTAATGTTATTAGAATAGGACGATAGAAAAATTACACAAAGAACTAAATGCACAGCTGTGGAATTGTTAACATTATAGCTGTGTAGGGGCAGACCAATGTCATTACTAAGACCGAATTAAGATTCCATTTAACTTTTGCATTTATAAAATGGTTAAAATTATACAATTTTGGAACATCACGTTAATTTTGTTACAGGGTGAGAGAGAAACTTATTAACATGACTCAAAGATCTTAAGGAATGGTAGTTGTGCTATTTAATATATATACACAGTACTTCTGGAAATACATAATCCACAGCAGTGAAAAGAAGCCCAATTTTATAGCAAAAAGGAAATCTGTATAACAACTTTAAAAATTAAACAAAATACTATATTTTAAGTATTTTTATTACAATGTTAATATATCAATTTATACTAAGAAACTATCATGACAGAATACTGCAGCTTTCCAAAATTTGATTCAAACCCCAACCACTGTTAAAATCACCACCCATCTGCTGAGATTCTTGTCACCCAAGAGAGTGCAACAAGTTTTAATACCATATCTGGGTAATCTTTCGCACCCACTGGTTGTAAATGCAGCAACTCCTAAAGAAGAGAGAGAGTATATTTCTGATACATTATGTGCCATAATGGAAACATTTCCAAAAAAAGCAGTTCCTGAGGAAAATGACATTTTATATTCAATTTTCACTGAAAGTTATGGTTTCATACAAAAACAGGCAATCATTTTAGCTAACAACAAAGCCAAAATCCTGAAAATTCTTCAAAACAAATTGTTCATATAGGAACCAAGAAATATTTCAAGGCATTTTGCTAAATATATTAATAATTTATGTTCAATATCTATTACGAAGACTACAAAAACCTGACCAGAAAAATACTTGGCTGGTTTCCTGAAAGACAATAGGATCATCCAAGGATTTGCTATATATCTTCTAACTTAATACTTTAGTCCACCTTAAATTTTGTCCCTGGAAAGTATGCGTAGGAGGGACAAATGGGAGACAGAGGTGGAAGATGAAGCTCATAAGAAGACTAACACTTGCCAATTATTTGAAATAAAATATATTTCAAATGTGCAGATAATGTCATTGACACGTATGCAATTCTAGTCCTGCAGCACACAACTGTACTGTTAAATAAATGAATATGAAATGTTAAAATCCATTAATCTATACCACAAAAAGAGGAAAGCAACATCTTATCAGTTAAAATACTTTACCTAGAAATGCGTCCACTAAGCAACTAATCCCACGCATAGCACGAAAGAATATTTGAGGCAGATGTTTAAGGCAGGGATACTGATTCAATTCCTGAGCCATTCCACTCACATTTAGGAACTGTTCCTGAAATTTGGGAGTAGAGCTTATTATCGCTGGATTACTCAAATCCACAGGATTGCTACAAAGAAAAAGAGTATTATTTAATCACTGGCCTGATGAAGGAAAATCCCTAGAATACATCGACTATTTTTAACTCTTTTAAAAGATTCTTTTAAAGAAATTAAAAGGTTGAATCATTCTTGAAAGTTTGGAACGTACCGTATTATTCGGAGTATAAGATGCACCTCCCCCCCCCAAAAGGTGAAAATTTAGGTGCGTCTTATACACCGAATGTAGCCCCGCCCATCCACTGGCCCCCACCCTTTGGCCTCTGACTCACAGCAGTTACCTCCTTGCAAGCAAACAGCAAGAAAAAATAGCTCCTTTCAGCTTCAGCATATCCTAATTAGCACAAGTTGATTGGATCGGCCTCCCGACTCTCAGCTGTTTTGCTCTCAGCTGTTTTACGCAGGGCTTTGCTGCTTGCTGCAAAGAGGTAAATTGCTGGAGCAGATTTTTTTTTTCCTTTTGCTAATTCAAGCTATGCTGAAAATGAAAATGAAAGTAAAGCAGGCTGTTTGCTGTTTGCTGCAACCAGGCAAAATTGCTTAGAGACAGAGGGAGATTCCTTTTTCTTCTTTTCCTCACCAAAAAAGGTAGGTGCGTCTTATACTCCGGTGTGTCTTATACTCTGAAAAATACGGTACATCATTCCTTAAGTTTTTAATGCCAATGGACAAATTTATCACAAAGCTTGCTATCTCTAAAGTGTTGCATGAAAAATTGATTTCTGTTTTTTTAAATATGTTCTGAAGATGAAATGCTTAAAACTTAATAGACCAAGAAGTAATAAAAACTTATCCAATACTTAACTGGCAAGGTGTTTGGGGGTTTAGGTTTAAAATATTATTAATTATGGTCATCTAGAGGCACATAACGCTTGTATGCTGATGCAAATGCAACAGTGTTATAAGAAAATGGTACAGCTATATCAATGTTTGGTGTGAATACACTAAAATCACAGAGGGAGTGGAGGAATTATTAGTTTTCAGTGTTTAGAACCGTATTTCTCAACCTCGGCCACTTGAAGATGTGTAGACTTTGACTCCCAGAATTCCTTAGCTAACCATGTTTTTTAACCCATGCTGGCTGGATAATTCTGGGAATTGAAGTCCACACATCTTCAAATGTCCAAAATTGAGAAACACCGGTATAGAGCTATGTGAAAGGAACACAATTAGCAAATCATTGAAAAGGCATGAAGAATTTCAGAAAAACTATTTTTTAAAGTAGCCAGAAAAAATGTTTTCAGTCAGAACTATACAAAAGCTGTTCTGCGGATTTAACTTAATCCGTTCTGCTTAGATTAAGTTAGATGTTTCCATGGGTTAATTTATTTCCAGAATGAAAGATACTCATGGATTAACAAGATTGGGTTTTTATTTTATTTTTATTTTTGGTTTGAATATCTGGATCCTGAACTACTACAGAGCCATTTCACAAAAAGGCCGATGTATTTCAATAAGTGTTTATCCAAAAAAACCTCATATATAGATAACTTGCTAATAACATTACATGATTTCTCTTCTGTACAATACCTCAGCATATGTAAAAAGCGAAACCAAGTCTGGGCAACACATTCGTTATCCATTTCAGGAGGTATCAAGTTTGCATCTTCATCAGGAATTTTAAAAGGTGGAAATGAAGGTCCATATGTAAAACGCAACAATCTAGAAACAAAAACAGGCCTTTTAATGGTTTTAGGGTTCTGACTGATTTCAGTACATATATTAGTATCCATATTTCGATGGAGGCATTTGCTGAACAAAATCCTTATAAATATCACGTAAATATCCAAACTGCAATCAACCTAATTATACTTTAACACTTAAAAAATTCATGAAGTACTTCTTTTAGACCAGAGCTGTCAAACTTCTGGCCCATGAGTCAGATGCGTCACGTGCTGGCCATGCCCACACCCCGTTTAGCAAAGGGGAGAAAAGTCCCGATATGTCATGTGATGCCGCTGTGACACTGTGAGTTTGACACCCATTTTAGACCCAGAAAAATTACAGTTAACAGTTTATTTGTACTCCAATAAAATTAATTTAAACAAGGAATTAACTGGTTATATAGCGACATGAAACATCCTTGCTCAAATGGTAATATTCATACAATGCAGAGTTACACTTAATATTGCAGTGATTATGAAAAACAAAGAGCTTTCAATAATAATATATACAGCCTCCCCTTACATATAAAAACTCTTTTAAGATTCATCCATGGATTTTTTGCAAAGATTTTGTGGTATAATAGTTGACAAAGGCAAAAGAATATGCCTAGCTCCCATTCAGAATCCTAGCAATAGATTTTGCTTTTAGAATAATAACAATGAAAATGATGTATTACATAATTATTTTGCATGACTCTTCATGACATGACAATTTTCTATTTCAAAGAAAAAAAATATGCAAAATAACAAATGATAATGGGAACTCTGATCTGCATTCTGCTATGTAACCACCGAGAACCCAGTGAAATTAAATTTAAGAGCAAATTCAAAAGCTTACATGTAGTAAATGTAATATTTCTGATGTGGTAAAAGTCAGTTTGAATAGAAAGAGCAATGCCCAAGGGGATCTCCTGAAATATTAATATCAATTGCATCATTTAGTAATGCCAAATTGAATAATGAAAAAAGAGATAGCCTACCTAGCAGTGAGTGCACAGATGACTTTACTCCACTGCTCTACCACTGCAGAATGATGCCTCCAATTTGCTACCATCTCTTTGGCAGTTTTCCAATAAGGTGGTGTCGGAAAACACCTAGAACAGGCTAGCAACCAGACTTCAAACAATACACCAATCAGTTTTTCAGCCAGATTTTCAGCAATACCACCTAACAAAGCAAAGAATATTTCAAAAATCTTCCTTAGAAGGAATCCTCTATTATTTTTATATTAAGGGATAATTGTGATCCATCTTGGTATAGCTGTTCGCATTGAATACTCAATGGTGATATAGCTTTATGATCATGTACCAGAATAATCATTCTTCATTCAGAACTATTTAGCAAACTTCATGTACATATTAAATTCCTGGAAAATGTTATTTCTAACAACTCTTCTAATATATAGAAATAAAAATACTGCTGAAACTTTTAGAATAGGTTGATTTGGATGTTATTGGATGCATTAAAATCCTATTAAATTTATAGGATATAATTAATACTATTAAAATGAATACATTCTCTCTTCTAATTATGTCTTGGGAGGTATTCTAATGTTAATTCCAGATAAATATTTTCATAAAAACAAGTTATTCAGAAAACAGCTTTCCAAGAATTTCATTAGCTAAATTGAGATTAACATTGGTGGATAATAATAATAATAGCCTTTACTGTCATTGTACATCATGTATACAACGAAATTGGTTGACTGTTTTAATTTACTGGACTTGCAAAAATATTTTATCAAATAATATTTTATCAGCCAAATATGTACAATATAAAAATATTGTGAATATAATTCATGGGCCTTATTGGAAAGTTATTATTTGTCTCCAATAAGGTTAGGACAAGTCTTGGAATAACATATAGAAGAAACAATATTTCTAGGATTGTGGGTATGAGAAATCTTTGGGGTCTATTGCAACATAGATTAGATTTTGATCTGAGGCTCACAAATATTGCAAGTCCTTAAAAACATTATATTGGTATCAATGAATTGGAGATAAAAAAATTGATTTATCAAAAAAAATGTACTTTCAGTTTACCGAATTTAGAGAACATGTCTAATATTTCAGCATCATTTTAAGATTATGATCAGAGGTGGGGTTTACATAATTTAACAACTGGTTCATCCCAGCACCAAAAATATGAGTGTGCGCATGTGCACGCTCGTCTTCCACACATGCGTGCAGCCTTCTGCCTATGCACTTTGCTCACGCGCGTGCTTTCACGCATGCACGTGGCTTAAAAAACACAGCTAAATAGGATGGCATAGCACCAGGGAGGAGGTCACAACTACTGGTTCACCTAAACCGGTCCGAACCAGCTGAATCCCACCCGATTATGATGCTTTAAAATGTTAAAACAGTAAAAAAAAACAGGATGTTTTTAATTATATAATCTCTAGCTAAAAGTTTATTGGGAAGTAATAAATAAGTAAAGTCTAACCTTGTACTGTTGGAGGTGCCAGTAGAGTATCATTAATCTGCAGTAGAAACAATAATAAAACTTCCCATGTTTCTCTAGCCATAATGGTTGATTCATGAGCCAATTTCTGTACAGCTTTCAAAACTTGCAAACACAATTTAATCTGACTGGAACCTTGGTCCTGCCTATAAAGAAGAAAACAAACCTTAACAACATAAACTGCAAAAAGTATCTGCAAAGACTGAAATTGGAAAACAAGAGCAAGTATTTCAAAACATCACTAACAGCAAAAAACGGGTACATAGCCATTCAGTTTTGTATTTGAGGAAAAACAAATTCACTTAACAAATTATTTCTTAAATGAGAGTGGGAGTTCTGTTGAATCGATTTCTATTTTTGCATTTCCAAAAATTCTCTATTCTAACATTTCCTGACATTAAACTTGATTAATGAAACTCCATATGAGTCTTGTTCCCTAGTTGTAATATACTGTCAAGGGCCTGACAGCAGGATTAAGAGAGGTTAGTCATAAAAAGATTTTTCAAAGCATCTAAAGTCAGCAATAAGTAGAATAATTTGAAATCTACGAGCTACCTCGTTGAATTCAAAATACCTACTGGTTCTTCTAAAAATATACCATTTTCTGAGATCCTGCTTACGGAAGAAGAGCTTGAAACACATGGGGCATTATATTTTAGTTTAAATATTTTACTTCGACTTCTGGCAATTTCTTGCAGAGTTTAAGATGGTTAAAAATTTACAAATAGCATTTTAAAGAATAAAAATTTTACTGACTCAAAAACATAAATACCAATTAAAACACTTTCCTAAAACAAAAGTTACCAAGATTTTTATCTATAGTTTTAAGATAAATATGGCTGATAATATGGACTATTATTTTGTCTTGATTAATAATTATAGAGGCATAAAATCATTTGCTCTACACTACTTACCTAGGTACAAAGAGGTTCTGTAAGTGCTTGAGAATGCTCTGAACGTAAAGATTTGGTTCTTTAATAACAGGTGGAGGAATTGTATCTTTAGGTATAACGAGAGCCATAATCCAATCTGTATATACGTCAACACAGTATTTCACTGTCTCACCATCCAAAGGGAGAGTCAGCCCATAGCAAACCACCTCCATTGTCCATTTTACCTAAGAAAATAAAAATAGAGCAGTATTAATACCAGCAGTGGCAAAAATATAAGCAATCAAGTTTGAAAAACAAAATCCAGTTCTTTATCAGCTATATTCAAAATACTTGGGTCTAGAAATATTATGTATAGCAGAGGGCTACAAACTATATTGTTTGTATGTTTCACTGAATCCATAGTGAGTAGAACTTAACATGGCTATACATGGTACAAAGTTAAACATGGCATGTGTTTGCAGATTTGAATGTATGCTTACTATTTACATCCATGTATTTACAGATTCAAGATAATGGTGAATGTGTAATGTGCAGAACTTTGAAAAGCCTTCTGACTGATTTAGTACTTTTTTGTTCTTTTATTTCTATTTAACTGTAAAGTTGTTAATAGGGACCAAAAGGTGATTGATTCACTAGGTCTACAATTAATCAGGTGAATAAAACAAATATTATTTTAACTCCTGAGTTATGATTGCTGCTCTATCTGTTTTCAACAATCACAGACTTTTCTAAGCAGGTGTCTGAATATTTGAAAGAGGAGTAGAAGACTATAAAAATATCTATAAATGTTTCCAGCTAGAAATTTCAGAAACACTGTACATGAAACACAATTACATGAAATAGTTGAAGTGAAGGCAAGCCCTGGAAGACCAGAAAAATCTCTGCTAGGACAGTTGAAAAATAGGACAGAGCTGCAAAACAGAACCCATGGATCTCCTAAAAGGTTTAGATGATGCTGGTGGAGCTGTCCACAAATCCTCAGTACAAAATTGTTTATACAATGCATGGGAGAACTGTCAGAGAGAAATCTTTTCTGAACTCATTACAAAAATCAATTGTTTCAGGTATGCAAAAGAAAACCTTGACGAGCCTCAGTTTTTTGGGGGAACAAAGTGCTCTGGACTGATGAAACAAAACCTGAACTTTATAGACACAATCACACAAGATGTTAATGAAGAAGTCGTTCAGGTACAGTTGTCTGGAAGTTGAGTAATGGAAATTGGACTTTTTTTTTGTTGATTTGAAACATTTTGCTGTTTATCAAAGTAGCTTCTTCAGGCTGAGAAAATTGACTGGGGGGTGGTCATATATGTCCCCTGGGGAGGTTTCATTTCTCATCTAATCTGAATGGGCTCTTTAGGTGAGTAGTGTATAAGTATACACATCAATTTCACAATGTAATTCCTTTAGACACGTCTTCTGAACAGAGGAAAGGGGAATTGCAAAAAAAGGAGAGAAATTCTCCAAAATTGAACAAATTCCATATCACTGTTAATTAATTATAATTTAAACTGAAATCACCAATAATCATAGCAATTGCTGCGTGACATGTGAGGAATATGATTTGAGCCCAGAGTACCTGAGCCAGTATGAGCATAGTGAATGTGTTCTAATGGCAAACTATAGTCAGAATTTATAGTTAAAATTGTTTGAATGTCAACAGTGTGGTTTGTCCACTTAGCAGTTTGAAAGCATGCAAATGTGAGTAGATTAATAGGTATCACTTTGGTGGGAAGGTATTCTGTGTGCCTCTGGCATGTAGCTATGCTGGCTATATGATCAGGAAAAATATTTTTGAACAACGCTGGCTCCTTCAGCCAAAAAATGAAGATGAGCACTGTGCCCTAGAGTCGGACACAACTGGACAGGAAATCTGAACTTTTTTTAGTGTGGTTTGTAGCTTTAGGTATGAACCAGATCAGTAAGCTTTTTCATTAAAGCACAGTTAGAATTAAAAATGACTTGGCGTAATATGTAAATTTAACCACTGAATTTTCTTGATGCACTTTAGTAATAAGTGACAATTTATTAAAGCCACACTAGAATTATTTTATGAAATAAAAAGTATTTTGCTTGTTGTGAATTATTATTTCCCAGCCTATTAAATTAAATTGTAGATATGCTAAATTGGCATTTTTCATATGACTGCAGCAGCTAAATCATCAATTTTCCACAAATAGTAGTGTCACAAAATTTTAATAAACATTTTCTACCCTCTGGAGTTACTGAACTACAGAGGGTAGTTTCTACCCTCTGGAGTTCTACCATCTCAGTTACTGAAATATACTTATAGCTGTATGCTTTTCAAAGCAAACAACAATGATAAGCAATCCTTCCCTCCCACCTACTTTTCTTAATACAAATATCTGCAATACAGGTGACTTCTTAGTACTGGGATAGTGGGGAAAAATTATGATTGTTGCAAGATAGAGATAAACTCTTTCATCCTGTTATAACTGAAGCTGGGGTGAACAAAAAAAAAAAAAGGATGGGTGGATGAATGCATTTAAGACATGATATGTATAGTGTCTACATACCACAGAGTAAAGGAAAGTAAAACAATTGAAATACTGGTACTGATAATTATAATATTAAATTAATGTAGATGTAACAAGAATAGGCTTGATATTTTTCTGTAATTTTACTGAAACAACATTTAATCAAAAATGTTATTTCAGATGCCCCAGCCTGGCCCAGCAGCATACCCAAAGACCTAGCTATCCCCCTGGAAGCCCTAGCACAGCAGCACAAATGTGCAGCCATTCCTGGAAGCCCCAGCAGCACAGTACAAAGCTGCAGCCACCCGAGCCCAGTGAGTGGTATGAAGCCCCAACCCAGCTGCCATTGCCTCCTTGGCCTTTACTATATTTTTGCTCCTGTTGATGACAAGGCAGGTCTAGCCTGGCCTTTCATGAGGTGGCTGCTGGACATGTGAGGCCTTCTTCCTCAGGTCTCATGATGAAACTGTCACATGCAAACTTGGCTAGCAGCTGCCTCACAAAGGGCCAGACCAGGTATGCTCGTGGAAGCAAAAATGGTGAAAGTCAGCTGAGGGCAGTGGAACACCGGGCTATGAAAGGCAGGGGGCCAAAAAGGCAGGCATGGTGGGAAATGGGCATGTGGGCAGAGTTAAAGAATCCCTGCAGTCAAAAGTGATGGTGACTAGCACTGATGATGTTACCTAGTTAGGGTAATGAAATGTCTGCAACAAAACAAGCAAGCTCAGAGAGCACCAAGGACCCCTCATTTCAACCCTGAGCTAGAAATATTCTCCTTTATTGATGATGGGCTGCTATGTAGATCAGTTCTGATTATGAGAACATTGCAACAGCTGTAAGTTCGGGATCTTGGGAGTAAGTAACAAGTAAGAAGTAACAAGTATCTTGTTCTGCACGGGTGTAACTTCAGATGATTGCTGAACAAACTTTCATAATTTGAGATCTATCTGTAATATGTTATTGGGCACATATCTTGTCAAGTTAATAGAACAAGAGATTTAGTTACAAATCTACATCAAATTAAGGAACAATATCTATTTTCAAATGACAGTTTGCTGCTGTTATAATTCGCTGTGGAATGCATTCTATCAGAATGTACAAAAATGTCTGTTTCTTAGCACTGTTATTTTAAATTAGAGAAATAACCTTATTGACACACATACATAAAGTGGAATTTAAAAACTGGGTAGATGGATACTTACTTCTTTGTCAGTTTTTAGTAAACTTTCATTTCCAGCTGTTGATGACAAATTCAAAATTTGGCCAAGAGGACGGACAACAGCATTTGCCACCTCCCTTCCCACATTTTCAGGATAACTGTGAAGTACACTGGTGTGACCTTTATCATTTTGAATTACAAGGTGTAGAGACCTCCACTCTGAGTACATAATGCCTTTATACTGCAGAGTAGACTGTACCTGAAATGAAACAACACAGAATTAATGTTATATACGATTGTGAACAAAAAGGATTGGTGCAACCCATAAAATTACTCAAAAAGGAATTGGAACAGATACTATAATCTACTAAAATGTGTTTGTTTGACTAGTCAGTTGATTTTTTAAAATCCATTCTCCCCATTTGTTTTGTTATTGAAGCAGCAGCAAACCTGTGAGGCTAAAGAATATCCTTTTAGATATAAATCATGAAGCAAACACTATGGTCATTAAGCAAATCAATTTTACTCAATGAACTTTTGCCAGAAACTGGAAGTAAACACTGGAAACCAGCAAAAAACACCCAAAATTGCAATCACATGACCACAGGACGCTGCAATGGCTGCAAGCCAGTTCTCAAGCACTCAAAATGCAGTATGTGACCATGGGATCACATGCGCATGCAGTTGTCAGAAATTAGAAAATGGATTATAAAAGAGCTATGAGGAGATCTGTCATAATTTTGAATGGTTGCTAAGCGATCAGTCATTAAGCAAGGATTATTTCTATTTGTCACAGGGATACCCAACTATTTTACCTTCTCAATTTTAAACCCAGTTTTATTCATTACCGGTAATTCTGTTTGAACTTGTATTTTCATATTTTTTAACACTTTAAATTCTTGCTTTTCTTTATGTTGCTCCAAATATTCCAAAATATTCAGCCCAGTTCTAATGTTGTTCTTCACTCTTCCTTTTTGTTAAAAACCCACAATGGTCCTTGAGAATAAATTCTTCAATCTACCAACTAGAAGTGTTGTGAATAACTTAATCAGTACTGCTATTGGCCCATAGCCTTTGTTAAAGTCAAAACTTCCCTCTTTAGGTATTAAAGCTTCTTTCCAAGTCTATCCTATCGGGTGGAAAGTGACATCTTTCCACCCTATAGGATAGAATTCATCAACTTTTCTAGAAGTTGTAAAAGTTCATTCTTAAAACATTTATAATAAAGACAAGATAATCCATCTGGTCCAGGCATTTTTTCTAGTTTAAACTTTCTTTTATAGCTTCAGAGATTTCCCTCATCGTTATAGGTCCATTCATAATTTGTCTTTCTCTGTAATCCTTTTTAGATACCATGTTTCCCCAAAAATAAGACCTTCTTATATTTTTTTGAACCCTGAAATAAGCGCTTGGACTTATCCCCCCACCCCAGGCCCTCCAGAGGCAGGAAACAGCCCGTTTCCCTACTTCTGGTGGGCCCAGAAGGCCCAAAAATCAGCTGGCCAGCGCACGCATGCACCCCAGAGGTGAGCTGGCGTGCCCACTAATATGGTTCCGCGTGCCACCTGTGGCACGCGTGCCATAGGTTTGTCATCACGGGCATAGCCTATAACTGTGATGGCGAACCTATGGCATGCAAGAGGTGGCACACAGCGCCCTCTCTGATGGCACACAAGCCGTCACCCCAGTTCAGTTCCGCCGTGCATGCACACGTGCCTCCTGCCGGCCAGCTGGTCTTCGGGTCTCTGCCATGTATGCATGGGGGTGGGCAAGATGTGCATGCATGGGGGTGGAGGGCATGTGGGCGGCACGCATGCATGCACAGGGAGGGGCACATGCACGGGGGCCACGCACACATTGCATTTTGGGGGTTCGGGGGCGCACACGTGCGCTTTGGGCACTCGGTCCAGAAAAGGTTAGCCATCCCTGGCCTATAAGCAGACTTTGTTCACGTATATCAAGTTATAAACTATAGTTTACAAACCACAATTAAATTGACACATTATACTGATCCACAATGTAGTTTATTTAGTTTTAATTTAGTATGCTACGTTAATTCCTGCCTCAGCCTGACCCAGTTGTTCTTCCTCATTACAGCAAATATGACAAATCCTAAGTTTTGAACAGATGTCACAGTTTGAAAAGATGGTGTGATACTGATGAAAAAAAGAATCTGTGGCCTAGTTTATTCAGTGAGCTAAAAACATTGCAAGCTATCCCTTGAGATTTATTCAATAAACTATGTTTAAGCATGCTCTGTAAACTAAGCTTATACCTTACCTTTCATGTATTACATTTCTACCGGTATGTGTATACACCCTCATAGATGACAATTCCCTAATTTCAAGCAGATCAAGACAGACATATATATTGGGATATATTGTAAATTAAGCATAGTTTTGCTTAATATATGTCAGGATTGTATTTCCAATTTAACCGTGAAAATGCAAACTAATATACTCCACAAATAATGTATTTTATGGAAGTGCCCTCTTTGGTAGATTCTAAGACATGCATATGGAACAAAATATAAGTGTAGAATTTCATAAAAATATTTGAAAAAGGGAAGCATGAAACTAAACATATTTTTTAAAAATCTTATACATTATGAAGTCCAATCTCCTGTATAATAGTTTTGGAGTTTTTTTTAAAAAAAACTAAAGCACTGAATATATATATACATACACACAAACATATAAATATAGAGATAGACATAGACATACATATACATGTAAGTATTTTAATTCAGGAAAAAGTTATTTTGTTCAGTATGAACATGTAGCTTACTAGAGATGGTCAAACAGCCTATAATAATACCATTATGCTTATTAATTCAAATTTTTCCTCTGGAACGTATTTTATATGAGAGAATGTCCAGCTCAACACAAAAGGAAAAGTCAGCACAGTGTTCCCTCACAAAGAACAATTGAAATTATGTTAGTAACAATGATATGCAAACGAAGAAAGGTTGCACTAAACAGGAAACTGATATATTCAAAAGGATTTCCTTCTCTCCTATTGACTTCCTAAAGAGTCCATTTTTATTTCCTGGAGAAGAAAATGGAATACAATTTGTGCCACAGCTTAAAAGATCAAAAAACAATTAGACATCTGTGATTGTGAAACCATCCCAGCTATGCCTTCTGACAACTTAATCTTCATGAATCAACAGTAATTCAAATCCAGATCATAGCACCAACAAAGATACCTCTTGTTGGTGCATATCTGAGTTTTTAATATAGTATTGTATATATATATATCATTATTGTCATAAGATCCTTTTGCATTACTTTCTAATTCCTGGCTCTGCAGAGTTTAAGCCAATGCGAAATAGTCATAATTATAATCTCAATCAGCAGTTTTGGAGTTTTAAAATCACTGCATCCTTATTAACACACTTTCTAAAATTAGTTTCTCACTCCCACCCAAGATTTGGTTTAGCTTTCTTTTCCTAAACAATTCCATTTATAAAACTTCATTCTGCTTGCCACACTTTAAAACTTTGTAAAATGAATTCAAAGATTTCAAATCTTTCGTTTTCTGAAATGACTGTGTGCTATTTCTTTCTGCAGCCTATTTACCATTGCTATGTATATCAAATTAAATTATGTACTTTAGGACGAAAAAAACCACAAACTTCTCATCTTTTATGAAATAAGATAATATCTTCTGATATGGACCTACTGTATATAATAGGTTGTGTGTGCCACGGTTAGTTGAACGAATGATTCTGGTAGTTTGATATTCAATTTGTGATTTGGTTCTTAGAATGTTGTGTTATAATGTGTTGTGCTTCCATGCTTCAGTGTTTTGTGGAAACCAAACCACTAAGATTTTTTCATCAACTAAATTTTATCTGGGTTAACACTGTTCCTAACACAGACCAGTGATTCATAAAGAATATTCAGATATGAATTTAAACCAAGTGGCTGCTAATTGAGGCTAAGGTCCAGCACCAGACAATAGAAAATGTTATGGCAGTTGATCAACAATTTTTCTGATTTGTGCCACTTATGCACTGGTTGGCCAGCCATTCTTTGTTTGTTTTTAAACACACTGCACTGAGCTAAACTGTGGTGTAGTTTGTTGAGTTTCAGTTTAGCATAATATATGATTGCCTAAACTACTTCAGGATTTTGAGCAAAACATATAGCTTAATGACCATAATGGTGATTTATTACTGTTCAAGCAAACTATAGCTTTGTCTATTGCATAAATGGTCTTCTGAAAGTTAAAGAAACTTGTAAGAAATGAAAAGGGTATTTTATATTCCACCAAAAAGTGCACCTCACTCATTTCTCACCTGTAATCATAAAAGGTAGATCATGCTACTAAAGTTAATTCATGATAGTGTCCTCACACCTCTATCCTGTTTCTACTGCAATCCTGCTCCATTCTGCTGAAACTAAAATTATCTTGAAATGTCAAGGCTTAGAACTGGAGTGGCAATTCAGTTGGAGGAAGTAAGAGAGCAGCAGTTGATGGCACATGCAGTTTTTAGAAGCAATAGGACTGACTCTTGTCAGCTAATGTCTATTGGAAAGAATCCGGTCACCAGCTGCCCCCTGATTTCTGTGTGAATGGAGAGGGAATGGCCAACAACATAAAAGAGGCTGCTGGCCACAACACACCAGAAGCACAGCCGAGTTTGTAGAGTTTATACTTACAGTAGTCTTTACCTACCTGAAAAGTGCTTCTAAATTTTGGGTTATTTCATGTAGCAAATACGGGTTTAAATAGCAGAAACATAAGTTCTCCGCAAATACTAGATAATCTCACTGTTTTCTACTTTCATATCATAACTGAAGCAGCAAGGAGTTGTACCTACTAACACAAACACTGAAAACTTGGGATTTCATGCCATAAATGTTGGATTAAAAAACAAACCAGCCTGGATGTGTCCTCTTTTGCAAAGATGAAATATAATTGATAATCATAAAATAAGCCAGATATTTATTATATAACCTACCCAATAACCAGAGTTCTCTAGGCCATATATTGTACCCAAAAAATTAAAAACATAATGCACAATTATTGGTTTAAAAAAAATTCCCAAGGAACAAAATTGAAACACTCAAGGAAGAAAGGTGCTTTTTCAGAAGGCAACTGGACTTTCTTGTTTTTTCTTTGAAGACGTTTCACTCCTCATCCAAGAAGCTTCTTCAGCTCTGACAGGATAGTGGGGAATGGAAGGATAAAAATGGAAGGATTTAAATATCCCGTGAGTTTTTGTCCCACCTTAGCTACAAATCTCGCTGGATGACCTTGGGCAAGTCACTTACTTTCAGCCATAGGAAGAGTGTTATGGCAAACACTTCTGAAAAACCTTGCCAAGAAAACTTCAGTGACTTGTCCAAGCAGTCTTTGAGAATTGAACATGATTGAATAGAAGAAGAAGAAACTGGATTAGGAACAGTAATATGATAAAAGATATTAATGTGATTTTGAATTGCAAACATTTGGAATTTATGACATGAAGAACTATGAGCATGTAGTTTTTAAATTACTCTTTTAAAATGGGAAGACAGTGCCATTCTCATTTAAAACTTTACATGGATGACATGTATTTACTTTCTGCTTATGAACTGGACCTTTACTGACGTAATGGAAAGCTTGATCAGTATTATGTTGTGTGGCCAAAGTTTAATGTTATGTTTAGAAACTGACTTTTTGTAAACTAAATCAATAACAAAAGCTAAATATCTATATATAGATTCTTCTGGGTTACAATGGTAACACATGAAGTGAAATCATATTAATTCTCTCATGTTTAAAGACCATTTAGCACTTCTATTTTTTTGGATTTATCCTTCCATTCCCCACTATCCTGTCAGAGCTGAAGAAGCTTCTTGGATGAGGAGCGAAACGTCTTCAAAGAAAAAACAAGAAAGTCTAGTTGCCTCCTGAAAAAGCACCTTTGGGACAACCATGACCTGGATGACTGAGAATTTTTACAGACTCAAGGAACAAAAATGAAACAAAGTAAAAATGAGCTCCAAATAAAACTGCAAATTAATCTGGTAATCTGATAATGTAACCAACCATTTACTATATTAATAATATATTTGGATATATAATTTTCATAATTAAAAAAGTATGTACTCGACTCCAACCACTTTTATGCCCAATATATCCTATCAATACCTAATTATATAAGAAGATAATTGGCATTCACCAAGATTCCAAGAAGTATCTTGATGAGGAAATAATTCCTTTTGTACTGACCTTGGCCAAATAATTAAAATATCACATTTTAATCCAATTAATAAAGAAGAAGGAAATCTATGTTTGGCTAAGATATCATCTGAAAAATTTTACTGTAATATGTGAAAGGCTTTGTTTGTATCCAACAAGACCTGGCTATTTCAACTTTCTCTAAAAAAAAACCCATTGCCAATATATCAAAGGTTTGTTGCTCTTTTACAAAACCAGGCTGTTCAGAATCAACAAAGAAATGTAATAGTGTCTGTAATCTATGTGACAAGATTCACTGCCAAAAGTTTGCATTAACATTTAAAAAGGAAATTGAACAATAGTTTGCCTGGACAGCAGAATGTTTGCTGGCCTTCAAAATTACAGCTATATAACCTTCATAACGGATTTTTTTAAAAAAAAAAAATAAGACAACTCTGAGAGGTTAGTCAGCTGGTGGCATTACAGAAGGATATGAAGATTAAGGACAAGACTTGGTTACTGAAAATATACAAGGGTCTGACACCATCTGGTGCTCTAGAGATTGCTAAACAAAGATTCATAGCAGCACTGGCTACCAGGCTAAGGAGACATATTAAAGAAGCAGAGGCCAAGAAGATACATGGAAAGGGGGAGTACATTCCATCACAGAGAAATCTAAATCAAGAAATTGCACAGCCCCAAGCTAGATGGGAAAGGGAAAGAAGTTCAGGGTGCCACACCCTACATTCTCCTAGAATATATCTACTGTTTAGAAGGTTATAACTTTGGTATGGCAAGATTTACCCATTAGGTAGAAGAAAATAAAGATAGGACTCAACTGCATTTTGTTGTGTCTTTTTTCTTTTAAAATGTGGTTAGCCCATACTGTACACAATGCAGTTTTCTGCAAGGGAACAGGTACCTATGGTCATCCAAATGTTGCTGCACCACTAGCATCATTCATCTTATGTTGGATGGAGCTGTGGGAGATATTTACCAGTAATATTTGGTGAGCCACAGATCTTAACTCCTGCTATATATTTACTGAAAATCAATCATTTCCCCAAGATAAAAGGGAGCATGCATACAGCCACAACCCAAGAGGGTGCCTGGAGTTATACACGTAATTCAGTGGGGGAAGGCTCATTTCATAGATTTTGTGTTATCAAGTTGTTTTTGACTCTTAGCGACCATATAGCTTTTCTCCTTCTCCATCTCATAAATGGAAGACAAATATGACATATACCTTGCTTCTTACTGCTTTTGATTTTAATGATAGTGAACAAAATTTCAGTACTGCCAAATCCACAAACTGCTTTTATCAATAAAGATTCTCAAGTATTTAAATTCCTAAGCTCAAAAGAAAATATTGCAGGTTGAACTATACTATAGTGCACTATAAGAGTCCAGTTTTAATGTTAAATTAGCTCTGGAAAAAATATCTAATCTCAACTCACTACTATGAGCCCTGGAACAGTCAGCCCTCAGCCAATCTTCATCAAAGCCTTGCTGCAAAACCAATAGGGAAACAGAAAAAAAATTGCAAATCACCTTGAAATCTTTGAAAGATTAAATATAAATATATTTAACAATCTAAAAAGAAACATACAATTTATTCAAGGATTATTAAATTCTGGATATTTTCAAATGACATTAAGTTTACGATTATACTGTTTATCTTAGGATGACCCATACATGCAAAGAAGCTCCTTTTATCTGCATACTTTCTTTTTTGTTTGCAAGTTAGTCCATGAAATAAAATGGTATTATGGTGTTCAATTATATGTTCTGTACTCTATATTTCCATATGACACATTTTATACAATCTTCAATAAGCTTGTTATTTTGGGGTTAATTCACATATGCACAAGAGAAATCCATATGATTACATTATTTAACACAGAAATACAGTTGTATATTCTTAAACTGTGGTTGCCCTACAAGTTTTCAGCAAAGTAGGCTGCACTTCAGAAAATACTAAATTATAGCTAGAAAGCTGGTAAACAAATCAAGCTACAAAGATCTTAAGAATCAGTGTAAGATGAGCATGAGATCAGCGACTATGCAAGATGTTCGTCATACAAATCTAGGGCCTTTTTTTGTTAAGTATAAAATATCCATCAGTGCTTTTATAGATATGCTAAGAAGACACACTCTCTAAGTAATAGGTGTAGCAAATAGAAGCCCCAAGATTCTAAATCAGGAAATAATGATAAATAATTCTGGAGGTTTTTAAAAAGGTATAAGGAATGTGTATCATCCTTTTGAATTAATGGAGTTTTGAGGCTTTACAGAGTACAAATATTGGCATATGATCAATACCTGGATAGAATACATGAGGACAAGAATGCGGCACTCTCACTGAAACAGTTTAAAGCAACTTAGTAGGGAAAATCAGGAATTCAATAAACTTCCTGCTTACCCTTAGGCATGATGTAAAATAATAAGAAATAGCAACAAAAGGAGATTTCTTCAGATCAGGTTTGACTTGTGATGCTATAGGAACATATTCATGTAGTTTTCCTTGCAACAGAATAAAAGGGGATTGCCATTACCATCTTTAAGGGTGATCTTTTTTTAATTCCCCAATCTATTCTGTAGCCCTGGAATTTCCTGGTGGTCCCTCATCCAAGTACTAATCAAGTCCAATACTGCTTGGTGTTTTTGAGATCAGCTAAGATCAGCTAGGTGCTGCCACCTGCTGTGGACAAAATAATAAAGCCCTTTCATATAAATTCTATGGCTAGCTTCAGAATGACTTAAATTTTTACAAGATTTGGGGGAAAGTAACACAAGTAGCTCTAATGATAAACTAAAGCTGTTCCAATAAGTTAAGTAGTGCACCCAGGATAGGGCATGTTTACACAGTATTTTTTTTAATTTTAGTTATTTCACCAAGCATGTATTTTATGACAGATACAAGTGTAAACATAATTATAAATACATGAAAAGGATACGAATAAAAGAAAACATTAGGACAGGGATGGTAGGCACGCTGATGCGCTTATGCACGCCCCTTTGCAGAACTTCTCGCACTCTGTATTTAATATAATCCTAAACTAAAACAGTACAATAAATGTCCTCTTTATAAACTTCGGAGAAATATTAAAACAACAACTAATATATTCAGGCCAGAGAGTAAATGTGAACATCATTCTTAATGGTATTTCAATTTGCCAATGCATTATGTTGGAGAGAAATATCCTTTTAAAAAAAGATCAGCAACAACCCCGCCTATAAGCGAGGGAAAGGGGAAAGGCATGCCCGATTAAAATCCGTTTACCCAAAATACAGGAAACTGGTGTCCTCCGGATATTTTGAACAACAACTCCCACAATCCTTTGCTATTCGCTAGGCTAACTGGGGCTGATGGGAGATGAAGTCCAAAACATCTGGAGGGCATTTGATTGTCTTTCTCAATCTTACGTACATGCCCGAGCCGAGTATCGAGCCCAGAGTTTGATCCTCATCGGTCAGCCCCTGCTCTACAGGTTGCTTGCTCCGAGTAGCAGCAAACCAACCCGAGTTTACTCAGATCGCTGAGGTGGGAATGCTTCGGAATGGAAAGCGCTCGGCCCAGACATGGCCTAGCCCCAGCTTCCCGCGCCCTAAGTTCGTGAGAAGACCGGCTCATTTCCCGCAGGGAGCACTTTTCCCGAGCAGCGGCCCCACCCCGTGCACGCTTCCCCATCTCATGCACCACCCGGAGCCTCAGCGCCACGAAGCGGCAACCCCGGGGTGGGGTGGGTGGGGGAAGAGGAGGGACGCCCGGGAGTCTTTCGCCAGGATTAATCTTCCAGGAAAAGGCATTCGGCGTCAAGGCCTCCAATCCCAGAAGGAAAGGAAAGGCCAGAATGCGGCGCAGAGGTCAGAGCCCGCTGATGCAGGGCCCGGCAAAGCCAAAGGCGGCCCCGCGCGGCTTCTGGGTGTAGTCAACGGGCAAAGAACCCGGTCGCGGCTTACCTGCATCGAGATGACCGGCTGACATGTCTGGGGTAAAAGGCAGCCGCTCCGCCCTCAAGCGCCCGGCTCCATAGCGCCCGCCGGGAGTGAGGAATCGAACGCTCCGCTCAGGTCTCTCTGGACACTTCCGGCCGTCTTAAAAAACTCACGCCCGAAAACCCGACATTCATCCCGTACAACACGCACGCGCCTTGACAACATTCCCTGCCGTGCGAAAGAAGTTCTCTCTACCCTCGACGCTCGCTCCCAACCGGAAGTACGTAGGAGCGTGACATTTCCCTTAGAAGGCGGCGGGTGGGGGGGGGAGGGAGGAGAAGGGAGGAGGGAGAGGCGAGGAGGAGGAGGAGGGGTTTTTTGAAAGTTTTGCGCTTTACGCAAACGCCGTTCGCTTGGCTCGGCCCACTTTCCTTAGCCCTCAGGATGTCGCGTTTAAAGGAGCCGCGTTTGTTTTCATGAGTCGTGGTCCTCGCTCTTTCCGCAGTCGCTGCCGTTAAATTCCCGACCGTGGAATCGTGTCATCCCAAGCGGGGTTGCAATGCTGACCAAGGGATAAGGAAGACCTTGCTGCCCAAAACATCTGGAGAGGGACAGTTTGGGGGAAACGGACTGCGTTACAAACCGACGGTGTGACTCCGCTGTCGCTCTTGCCGTAGTTTTACTGCAGTGTTTGTTGTTCAACCCCAGCAGTGCCTGTTCAAGCCTCCTCCGCGGTGTTAACAAGAGGCTATTTTACCTGCTTTACAGGCAGGAAATAACCTGGCCTTGTTTCCGAATAATGAGGAACTGGAGAATGGCACCTCAGATTGATTGATTGATTTTATTTTATTTTATTTTATTTTATTTGATTATTTGATTTTATTTTATTATTTTATTTTATTATTTTATTTTATTATTTATTTTATTTTTTTGATTTGATTTGATTTGATTTTAGGAAATTGATATCGGCGCCTATTCGCACATGGCGACTCAAGGCAGCTTACTAGAACATAGAAACCTCATATATAAAACACTAAAACTAATAAAAGAGAATAATCATGTACTAAAATAATATAATAACATAACCCTGGCAACAACACATTACATGAGCCATTTAATGGGCTTCATCCCGCTCTGTGTTCCCCAGATCCACTGGCAGAACCAGGTCTTCAGCGCCTTCCGAAAGAGTTAGTGTGGGGCCCACTCTAATCTCTGAGGTTCCAGAGCAGTGTTTCTCAACCTTGGAAGCTTGAAGATGGGTGGACTTCAACTCCCAGAATCCCCTAGCCAGCAGCGCTGGCTGGGGGATTCTGGGAGTTGAAGTCCGCCCATCTTCAAGCTTCCAAGGTTGAGAAACACTGTTCCAGAGAAAGGGAGCCACGATGGAGAAGGCTCCTCTTCTGGGTCCCACCAAGGGTATCTCCCTAGGGCAGTGATGGCTAACCTTTTTGCCATTGTGTGCCAAAAGCGGGGATGTGTGGGGGTTACGCATGCCCATGCCCAGACCCATAATTCAATGCGCCCCGCCCCCTGTGCATGCACGCATGAGTCCCCCGTGCTCCCCCTGCTTTTGGCACAGTGGGCTCGATAGGCCCGTTTTTCTCCCTCCCCAGGCTCCAGAGGCTTTCTTGGAGCCTGGGCAGGGCAAAAACTGCCTCCCCCCCCCAGAGGCCAGAAACGACCCATTTCCCGACTTCAGGTGGGACTGGAAGGCCCGTTTTTCACCCACTCCAGGCTCCAGAGGCTTTCTAGGAGCCCGGGCCTTTCCCAACCTCCCGGAGACCAGAAACAGCCCGTTTCCTGCCTTCCGGTGGGCCCAAAAATCAGCTGGCCGGTGTGCGAATGCATGCTGGAGCTGAGCTAGGGCAACGCTTGCGTGCCCACAGATATGGCTCCGTGTGCCACCTGTGGCACGCGTGCCATAGGTTCGCCATCACAGCCCTAAGGGATGGGATCCACAACCTTCCTTGCCTCCCTGCTCTGGTGGGGTGAGTAGATGTGACCGGCAAGAGGCAGTCCCTCAGATAACCTGGTCCTAAACCATGAAGGGCTTTAAAGGTGACAACCAGCACCTTGAATTGCATCGGGAAGCAAATTGGCAACCAATGTACCTCCCGCAGGAGACATGATACATGTGCACACCGAGGTCTGCACAAAACCATGCGGGCCACAGCATTTTGCACCAACTGGAGCTTCCAGATGCTCTTCAAGGGCAGCCCCATGGAGAGTGCATTGTAATAGTGAAGATGGGAAGTGACTAGGCATGAGTGACAATGCTAACTAGCATTGACTCTGATTTGATCTCCATGTGCTTAGGCAAAAAATGTTAGCAAAGAATGATTCTTTCAGTTTGGGCCAGAAACCAAGAGATTGCAAATTCTAATCTTTTCTTAGTCATGAAAGCCAGCTGGATGACTTTGGGCCAGTCATTCTCTTTCAGCCCATGATGTCAGGCTCAGGTAACAAGTCAGTCAATTCCTGTTAAAACCAAATGGATCAACACTTGATCCTTAAAAAGTATGGACTTGAATGAAAATGCTAGGGGAAAAAAACTTCTTCAAGATGCTCAAAATGTTTAGCATATTGAAACTGTTGAAATCAGTAAATTAGTCTTCAAACTCATATATCAGATGGAAATAAGACATCAAAATTTAGCAATAGCTTGGCTGCCTTTGTTGAGTCCTCTTTTCCACTAGGACAATGTTTTCCGTCTTAGCGACTTTAAGATATGTGGACTTTAATTCCCAGGCTAAATTTCCCCATGCTGGCAGAGGAATTCTGTTCAGCACCCATGGCTACATATGTTAAGGGCAGGGGTGAAATGTAAAATTTGTTACTATCGGTTCTGTGGGTGTGGCTTGGTGGTGGTGGGGTAATGTGACGATGGGCGCGGCCAACTTTTTTTTTTACTTTTAAAAGCATTTTTTCTACAACCTTAAGAGGTTGCAGAAAAAAATGCTTTTAGAAGCCTCTGACGATCAGGCAACTCAGCTGGGATCGCCAGAGGCTTTTAAAGGCTTTTTTTTTTCCTACAGCCTCTTCTCAGCCTTAGCCAGCTGAGCCGCACGATCATCAGAGGCTTTTTTTTTTTTACTTTTAAAAGCATTTTTTCAGCTGAAGAAATGCTTTTAGAAGTAAAAAAAACAGCCTCTGATGATCACGCGGCTCAGCTGGGCATGGGGGAGACGCAGGGATTTTTGCTACTGGTTCTCCGAACCACCCACCACCATCGCTACCAGATTGGGTGATCCGGTCCGAACCGGGAGCATTTCACCCCTGGTTAAGGGGCAAAATATTTGTAGATAAAGCCAGATTTCACTTTCTTGCCACCTTGGAAGCTTAATTAAACAAACCATGGATTGCACATAAACCATGTAAGATTAGTGTTAATAATTAGAAAGATGAGCCTACCAGCATTTAACCATGCTCATAGAAATTGCCAATAGTTCATTCAATCAGTTATGATTTCTTTGAATCTCTCAGCAGCACTAACTGGAAAGTTGTGTTTCAAAGTAGTATCCCTTTTTAGATAAGCGCGCTCTATAGTCTCCTGGATGATTGTGTTACTTTCAAATATTAAAAGTAAACTGTGTGCCTGAGTATATGTGGATGTAACACTGATTCTACAAATCAGAGAGGGATGTATTAGTCTTGTAAGTCTTCCTCTTAATTCCTGGTTCATACTGTTTTATTCTTAAGGATTAATGCTAAACCTTCGCTGTCTTATTTTCCAATAACCCCTTGATGACCTCTCTCCTTTCATGTGTCTAAGATCAATTCTAATAAATCAGTAGTATTTTTATTTGTAACAAATAAGTATGCACCAGATCTGCATAAGCAAGTATTTTACTTTCCATTTTTCTTGACCATTTCTTGGGTATAGTCTAATTCTGCAGTGAATTTTCCCTTTCATTTTTGCATTAACCAGTTTACAATTTTTTGACAGGAAATTATAAGTCTTCATCAGTTAAAACATTGTCAGTCTGTAAATTATAAATTTGTGCCAGCTAAACCAAGTAAAGTTGGTTTAGTTTCACAAATCTTAGGCTAGTTATCTATTATAGCAATATTTTGATAGAAAATTGTAAATCTTTTATGACTATAATTTATTAAAAAACACCTCTATTGGTGTTTGTAGCATAAAATCTGAAGATTGGGATACTTTAATAGCTATATGTGGTGTTTGTTAGGTTTATACTCTACTTTTCCTATAAGATTACTTAGAATTATAACCAATGTTTGTCATGCAAAATCAGGAGCCAGTATTTGTAAGCAAAAAGCAAAAAATCTCTTCGACCTAAACCTGTGTTTGCTGTATTAAATTCATCAGTACAAAATATATGACTTTTCTCTCTCCCTTTTTCTAGCAAACATACAAATTAGTTATTCAAACCAGTGATGTCATTTTCTGGCCATTTTTAGTAGACAGAAAGGGCAAGGAAGCATTGTTCCCAGAGCCTAACGTTATAAAGCACTGCCCATTTCTCCAAATTTGGACCATTGCCAACCCTTGATACTACTAAATTCCTGGATATATGAGATAGTTTTTCCTTACTACCCATTTATTTTTAAAAAAATTATACACATTTTAAAGAATATAATAAGCTATATTTCTTTATTGTGCCCTGTCTACCATGAAAGTCAACCAAAGTGGTGAAGTCAGCATTGCCTAATGTAATGTCCTCCAGATATGTTGGAATGGCAGTTTCAAGAATTCCAGGCTGTGTAACTGTTCAAAGGATTTGGGGGAAGCTAAGCTAGAAAAGCTGTGTTAGCTAAAAGAAAACATCTTAAGATACCAGGGAAACAGGAGTACATTGGTATACTCCTGTGAGTCAAGCTTAGTGTGAACTCTTTCTGACACATTCCTTCCTGTGGTAACAATATGGAAGTGGTTTACTATTGCCTTCTTCTGACATGTTGTGGGTAGTGAATAATTCCTAATTAGAAAGATGTGGAGATGGGGTGTTAAACTAATTTGGATACCCATATTAAGGCCTCTGAAGACCAACATATGAAAAAAAATGATCCATTTTGTTTATAAGGCAGTCTACGTTATAAGGTAGTCCTCGACTTACAACAGTTCATTTAGTGATGATTCAAAGTTACAACAGCACTGAGAAAAGTGACTTGTGACTGCTTTTCAGACTTACGATCATTGCAGCATCGCCAGAGTCACATGATCAAAATTCAGATGCTTGCCAACTGACTCATATTTATGACGGTTGCAGTGTCCCAGGGTCATGTGATCCCCTTTTGTGAATTTCCAACAAGCAAAGTCAACAATGAAGCCAGAT